AGTATAATCCATGAGGGAGGGTTGTAATTTTTGTTGAACAAATATAGATAAAGGAGTAGCGAGAAGGAAAGAGAGAGAAAGAGACAAGTTTTAAGTTTAAACTTGGCATGGAAACCTATCAAGTTCCATAAATACCTGGTCTAGAAATATACAAAGGTGGAATTGGTTTAGAATAGGTTCATGAACGTAAAATTTAGAGGCTTATATTTGTAGGTTAAATAAAAATTTCCATAAGAACTGTGATAGTGTGATACCCCCCCCCTCCCCCCTGAACTCAACATGCATCATTTGTAATCCTTTTAAACCCTGAAACCTCTTCTCTAATCTTAACCTTATCTCAAAATTCAACTCCTCTAATCGTAAGATTATTAAATATGATTACATGGAAAATAGAGCTACACGAGCAGGCGGTCTTAAAATGCTGTTATTCTATTTTAAGCCTAATACATTTCCCCTATGTAGCCCATTGTAGTCTCAATTTAAGGACTTATTTATGTTATATGTATCACTTTGTATTGTTCTGTGTTACTCTTTGAGTCCTGAGTACTCTCCTGAGATTACTTCCCTTTGTAGTCCACTTTAGTCCTTAGTTTTGTTTATATATCTCTCAAAAATAGTATTAGGGCAAACTCATTTGCATTTACATTTTATATTTTAACTCTATACATACAGACAGGTGTTTTGTCTTAGCTCACTCCCATTTTTGACACTATCACCGTTAAATTTTGTAACTTCAATGAATAGAAATTTAAAGGTTTTTTTTGTAAAATCTTTTTTTTAATGCATAGGGTAGGGCTGTCAAAAGTCCTGTCTGTAAATCCATAACTTATTTTGTGACTAAGCTACAGTTTTAAAAAATATATATTTAAAAATCCCTTGAAAATGGATGTAAAAATATTGTCACACTGTGATATTTGTTTAAAATAAAAAAAAAATATTTTTCGCATGTGTTTGGTATATTTTTAGCACCTAAACTATTAAAGTTATCGGCCAAATTTTTTTTTTTCGATGAGCTGGTCTTAAAAAATGGACTATGAATATAATGAACCTTATATTATAACCCTATAATACGTTCTCTGGCCTTCTTGGGGCGTGGGACGCCCCCCCCCCCCCACCAGGCTATACATAGATTTAGACCCCCCAACCTTTACAGGGTTAAACTTTCGTTTAGGTAACAAATATTACAAAATTAGAGTTTGTTTCGAGTTATCATTATATTTTCATTTTTTAAACCTCACGAATCAAACTTTTTTGCATGCAATTATTATTTTCTTAGAATCGGCTCATTTTTGCCAATAGTTCTGATTTAATTTTCAAATTTAAAACTTTGTCCAGTAAATCAGAAGTGAGTTCCTTAAAAATAAAAAAACACGCTTTTCAAACTTAAAAATAGGATTTTAAATTGAGATATGAAAAACAGTGGATACAAGTAAATACCATGACGTCATGTCATATTTTGTAATTTACAACTGTGGGTGTATTCAGTTCTTCTTTTAGTTTCTTTATTTACTTTATTTTATTTCTATGAAAGGATTTTTTTTCTAAAAAGGGGTCATTACCACTTTCTATGTGAGGAAATTCCCCCAACAAATAATTTTTAATGAAATTCAAATTTTTTTTTAACAATCGCTTGGTAATGAATAGTTTTATCTAGAGTGTATTTGATGTTGTTAAAAATAAAAAATAACGCTTTTTTTCTTAAATCATTAACAAAGTTTATGGGTCTGTTTACAGTGTATGTAACTCGATGTATTATAAGTAATGCCCCCCCCCCCCTCTCTTTCTCTCAGTCCGGTTTATGAATACACTCCGATATCAATTCGTTAGCGGCGCTCAATTACGTCTTTATGGGCAGATTTTCAGTAGGGGTGGGGGGGGGGGCAATATCATCTGTTCAGAACTTCAAGGTTCAGGAACAGTTTCAAATTGTTCTTAGACGGAGCAACATCTACGAGACTAGTTCAGGGCAGTGAGCCGGGATTATAGTTTTTATCAGAACGTTGTATTAAGGAAATTTAGTCTTTGCCACAAACTCTGATTTTCTAATCCCAATATATTTGCAACTCAATGGACCTTAGATATTTCTAAATATGAATTCTGTTTGATAAAGTAATCCAAGTTTGAACCATCAAAGATGTAAACTATCAGTTAAGATCTGAATTTGAGAGGGTACATTACGAAAACAGTAAAAAGGGGAATCCCAGTCCAGCCATGATCCTCAATAATATTGCAGGTTGTATCAGTTTTCGGCTTTTTTAAATATTTGGGAAAAAACATAAAATTTGAAAACCAACTTTTTTCCAAAAAAATGTTGGTTCCCCCCATTAAAGCATTTTTCTACCCAGAGCACAGAAGAGCGTATTCAAAACCTTTAAAATCTAGCTTAATTTTTGGACTTTCGAGTGTTCGTTAAATAAAAAAAGACATTGAAATAACTCTAAAAACTGTTTGTATATAATCTGTACTTTAATTTTCAGGCTCTTTATGATCATTTCGAAAATGGCAATGCAAATGTTTGCCCTACTCTATAACGTAAACATTGTATATACAGCTTAAAATCATTGTAGAATTTAAAAATTTTGAAACCACCACCATTGCATTTATCCTGTCATGATCCTCAATATTAGTTTTAAAAACGAGTATTTCATTAAACAATAGGATCTGCAAGTTTTCTGAAATTATATTTTATTTTCGCAATCGAAATCAATTTCTTACGAGATGTATAAAACAGTAACACATAACAACTGGACTCCAACTAAAAAAATATTTATTCTTGCAAATATTTAATTATTTAAACACAATTTGATGTATTGTTTTAAACTAAAAAAGTTGCAAAATGGAAATTTCTGAAATATTCCTATTCCCTATATATATATATATATATATATATATAAAACGGCAAACGTTACCGATTAGGTGTTTAAATAAGATTAGGGTCGTAAATTCAGATAAATTACAGAGTGTCTCAAAAAAAACTGTGCAATAGGGGTATTAGTAACTGAGGAAACAATTTTCGTTTAATTTTTACGATCAAGGTGTCATTCCAAAGCTCTATATTTCAGTTATTTTATGATGTAAAATTTTTCCTTCTAGGCCTCATACTTTTTTGTTACAACCAATTATTTGAGCGTAAGTCGAAAATCGATTTCCCGGATTTTTCACGTCTCATTTTCATTCGTTCACAAAGTATAAACATAAAAGATGAGATTTTAGTACTCTTCTTACTTAACCAATTACCATAATTAGAAAAAACTGAGATTTACGCAAAATAGTATGAAACCCATTGTAAAATTGTCAAAACGACATTTGATAAATTCTTTCGATGTATGGCTCATTCAGGGTTTAATTCTGTGTTTTAAGAAAACAATTACCATACTCGTAAGTTGTAAGATAGGGTAGGGCGACGAGTATCCTGAATTTCTGTCTTGCAATTTGTGAGTGGTATTTGAACTATGGGGGAAGTTTTTGTTCGACACTCAAAACTTTTTATATCACATTAAATGCAAGTTTGATCGATAAAAACTTTCTAAAGCATTATTTTAACAAGATCTAGTATTTCACTTCCGAATATTTAAATGACATACCCGGCCTAGACCTGGGCATCTTAGACCTTTAAAATTTTATTTCATAAACAGAGTGGCATGTTCGATTCAAAAGAATACCCTTAACAGCTTTACTATTCACTAATAAATGAGTTATTTATGTTTATCTCTTTAAAAGTTTATTATTTTCATTTGTGTGTTTCTCTACAAAATGACTTTCCCATTTTTCCTGAAGAAGTAATAAGATGATATTTAATGTCAGAAAAATGACGATATCTTGCACATTAAATTGTTTAATGAAAGATTCAAAAGTTACAGTAATATATCGAACATTTTCCTCTTTAATTGGAACCTCACTCAAAATTACATCGACCGTTTTCACTCCTTTTAACTATTTGTTAAATAACACAATGTTCAGGCCAAAATATGATAATGTTTGAACGTTTTGTGAACAAATCAAAAATTAACAATTCAATTACGCTGGTTCAAAAATGTTTCCTTAATTTTGCAAATGTCTGTTCGTTAACTGAACATTGAAAATTTTAATGAAAGCTTTTTTTTAATTCCCAAAACTATGTTATTAACCCTATTCCTGCTGGGGGGGGGTCAATTTGACCCCCCCTGTAGTTTTTTTACATAACTCAAAAAGTATTGGTCTGAGGCTGTTGAAATTTTCTGACTTTTCTTTCATACCCAAAGCCCTCCCTTTAGGCCTAAAACCGGGCTTTAATACTAACTGCCTGAGTCCTCAGGCACACTGCCTGAATGACTGCTTATGCCTGTAACAAACAAAATCTTTGTTTTGACCCACTTTCACTTGTCAGATTTTGATAAAATTTAGCTTTTTGGAAAGCCTATGACATGAGGAAACGGATGGGACAAGTTTTGCGAAAAAAAAAATTGCAAAGTTTTTGCAAACAACCTGTCAAAGGAAATTTGCACATTTTTAGTTTTTCTTCATTACAAATCAGGTTATTTAAAATTTTGCAAAAAATTTTGCATATTTGAAATGGCATGGACAAGGGCTTTTCAAAAATTTTTCATTTTTTGGACAAATTTTTTTTTGCCAAACATTTTTACTATATAATTGGATTTTGCGATAAAAAATTCAATTTTTGCAAATTTGCAACTTTTTTGGCAGATTCTAAAAGTAGAGCACAAGAGCTTTCTAATGATGTATCATTTGTCATATTTGGACATAAAACATGGGATTTAGAGGGGGGGGTCAAATTGACCCCCCCCCCCAGCATATCCTGGTTTTCAAGTACCCCAGCAGGGATAGGGTTAATATAGAAAAAGTCTTCTAATGAGCGTTTTTTTATCCTAATTCTAAAAATAGACTTTTTGTATATAAATTTGGTTAATAATTAACGAAATTGTTAGTTTATAAGAAAGAAATATTTGATTTTTCGATGTTTTTTATAGTTTTTATTGTTTGTTAACTACGACTGGCAATAAATCTTGTTTTACATTTGCTTTTTTAACAAACTTTTTTTTTTGGATATAAACAATTTCTTGTGTTAGGTAAACGTCTAATAAAATCTAATAACGATATTTACAAATCAAAAAATTTAACTCCGGAAATAACTACATTGCCATTTATTTTTTTTATGTATTCTTTTTATATCAATTTTGTTGAAAAGTTTATATGATATTTTGAATTTAAGTAACAATGTTGGGTTTTCAACCTCTCTTATAAACGAAGGAAACGGTAAACTAGAAGTCCTGATTAAAAGTCTTACTTTAAACCCCATTTACATTCCTTTAAATATACTAATGTTGTTGTGGCTATTTTGAACTTTTTGTATTATTTTGTACTGGATACATGTTTTTTTCTGAAATCAAGTTTTTTATTGCATTTTTTTGTCTGCTGATGACTAATCAAGGTTTTTGTATAAATATATGTCTTGAAAATCAATAAATACTTGTATTACAAGCGTGTGGAAAAGTGTACTTTATTATAAAATACATCCCCCCCCCCCACCCCCACATTATAATAAATTCTGATTGTCATGATTTAGGAATTTTCCATTTAACACTTAACAAAATTACAATATTTGGTCTAACTCAAGTATTTATATGAGATAATTATTTTCCCCTCAATACATTAAAGAAACTTGTGGGGGGGGGTGGGGGTGGTATCGAGCAGTGCTCAATAAGAAATCTGTAGTTGGACAAAGTATGTTTACAGCTTAAAAATATATGATGTTTAAATGTTGACAAATATTTTTAAGTTTACCTAATACATTTTTATAATTTATTAACATATTAATTCATTTATTATGCAGGCAACATAGGATCGATCTTTGCTTCATTTTCCAATTGCATCAACCATTGATTTGTTAACGTTATTACATTTTCTATAAATATGCTCTTCACATAGGAATCAACTTATCAAGTCTTTGCCACAAACAGAAATTGTCTAATCCTTATATATTTGCAACCTGATGGTGTATACCTTTCATGTTAATCTACCAGAATACAACGACAGTGGGTTGCAAAAGATGTAGGGATTACAAAACCAAAGTTTAAGTGATAAAGCTAGATTTAAAAGCTAGTATTTGTTAACTCCAGTTAAAAAAAAAACTTGTAATTGAATTGAAAAAAAAGTTTTTTTAAGTAAAAATTAAATAACTAACTTCGAATAACAAATAATCTTATTTTGCTGATAATGTTCATTAGAACCTTTAATTTTGAAACATGCATTCCAGAAGTACTTTGAACAATGTTGACTAATTGATTTCAAAACAGAATTGTCTCTCTATTTATATTTATATTCAGTATACACCTGGAATATCTACTAGTGAGTTAATTCTGTTACTCTGCTTATGCAATATTTTTAATATATAATTTTAATCTTGAGTAAAATTAAACTGAAAATCAAAATCTTTGAATACATAATTAAAACGATGAAATTTAGGAGATCATTTGAAATATTTCATAAAATAAAGTATCATTAAACCACCAAAAAAAAATATTCATCTTCTCATTTTTGTTGCATAGACGCATGATACAAACCAAACAATTGAAATGTGTACCCTTACAGGGTTACCCACGTAGAATAAGACTGTAAAGACGACCTGGCATACTTTAACAATAAGGATTCCAATGTTAATTAAAGTCTTCTGCCTTGAATATAGTTTTTTTTATATAGCTTACTATACGCTTTGGAAAAGAAAGAAGCAATTTCAAAGTTACAGGAAATCAATATTCATGAACACAAACTGCAAAATAGACTTTTTAAAGTACACAAATATCACGGTACATTTTTTAATTTTACAAAGTTTTGCTTTTAATAACGATACATATTTCTCTCCCCCCCCCCCCCCTCCGGTGTATAGTTTCAATCTCCTATTTTCCCTATCAAGTTACTAATTTGAAGAATATGTTAGAAGTAACTTAGATTTCAACGAATTTCAGAGTAAATGTGCTATATGTAAATACAAACTCTACAAGAGCCCCCCTCTCGTAGAGTTGGGGGAGGGGGGGCCTTCAACTTCGCCCCTTTCTGTTTAAATCATTTTTCCCAGAAAATATTTTTGATTATACTTTGCTTCTTTAAAAGTGTAAAATGTGTTTTATTGAGATTTCTATCCAAGTATTATTTAAATTAAAATAAGACGATAATTTAAAGACGGAGAATCATAAGATAAGGGAGGGGGGGCAGTACGTGAAGAGAAAGAGACATTTTGATCGAAAGAGGAAAAGGGGGGGGGGAAGAAAGGTCTATAAGGAAGAAAAAAGAGGGGGGGGGGGGAATGATAGAAAAGGGATGGTAAAAAAGAATGAGAAACGTAATTAAGAGTAGTTTCTACAATAAAATTAAGAGAGGATTATACTTTCTTTAGGAAGAGTAAAGGTCTTACAGTCAATATCCTCTTAGCATCTCAGTAATCTTTCTTATACTTGCATTAGAGAGTCTCTACAGAGAGATGCCTTTAGTTTCATCGGAGACTCTTTGTAGAAAGAAGCTCTGAGTTTCATCAGAGACTCTATGTAGAGAGAAGATCTAAGTTTCATCAGCAACTCTATGTAGAGAGAAGCTCTAAGTTTCATGAGAGACTCTTTGTAGAAAAAAGTTCTGAGTTTCATCAGAGACTCTATGTAGAGAGAAGCTCTAAGTTTCATGAGAGATTGTTTGTAGAACAAAGTTCTGAGTTTCATCAGAGAATCTCTGTAGAAAGAAGCTCTGAGTTTCATCAGAGACCCTATCTAGAGAGAAACTATTAGTTTCATCAGAGACGCTCTGTAGAGAGAAGCTCTTAGTATTCCTCAGATACTCGACTCTTAGTTTCATCAGTGACGGTCTGTAGAAAAAACTCTCAGTTTCATCAGAGGCTCTATGTAGAGAGAAGCTCTAATAGTTTCATCAGATCCGGTCTGCAGAGAAAAGCTCTAAGTTTCATCAGATATTCTTTGTAGAGAGAAACTCTTAGCTGCATCAGATACCCTATGTAGAGAGAAGCTTCTAGTTTCATCAGAGAATCTCTGTAGAGAGAAACTCTTAGTTTCATGAGAGACTCTCTGTAGAGAGAAACTCTTAGTTTCATGTGAGACTCTATGTAGAGAGAAGCTCCTGGTTTCATCAGAAACGGTCTGCAGAGAAAAGCTCTCCGTTTCATCGGAGACTCTCTGTAGAGAGAAACTCTGATTTGAATCAGAGACCCTCTGAAGCGAGAAGCTCTTAGTTTCATCAGAGACGCTCTTTAGAGAGAAGCTCTTAGTTTCATCAGAGACTCTCTGTAGAAAGAAGCTCTTAGTTTCATCAGAGACTCTCAGTAGAGAGAAGCTCTTAGTTTCATCAGAGACTCTCTGTAGAGAGAAGCTCTTAGTTTCATCAGAGACTCTCTGTAGAAAGAAGCTCTTAGTTTCATCAGAGACTCTCAGTAGAGAGAAGCTCTTAGTTTCATCAGAGACTCTCTGTAGAGAGAAGCTCTTAGTTTCATCAGAGACTCTCTGTAGACAGAAGCTCTTAGTCTCATCAGACACTCTCTGTAGAGAGAAGCTCTTAGTCTCATCAGAGATGCTCTTTAGACAGAAGCTCTTATTTTCATCAGAGACGTTCTGTAGAGAAAAGCGGAATTTTTTTACGCTTAGAAAGGAACTGATTTCTCGCCACAAAATCTTTTTTTTTGTATTTATAAAGACATTTAAAATTTGAGTTAAATCAAAACTAAATGAGTGACGAGGTCACAAAGACGAACCGGTAAATGGTAATATCGCATATATCGCATAAATGTGACATTTGCTTCTGTCTAGTTCAGTGTAAATTGTTAAACATATTTTGATTTAAGTTTCAAAACTAATGTCCAATAAATAGATCTTGTTTTTCTGGAATCATATTTCACACAATTCTCATCTGTCTAAAATATATAAATCATTTTATTCCAGTATAATCCAGATCCTAAAACTATTAATTTCATATGTTTGTCATAATTCATAATTTATTTCCAATTTTTTTATTAATTGATTTAATTTATAGCTTCGATTAGTGAACACATGTGTGCGTAGAGAAAAATAGGATTGAACAATAATAAACATTCTGAGTTATTAAATTAGAAGTGTAATTCGTACATAATTAAAATTGTCGAATTTGAAAACAGAAAATATTTTAATTTATGTTATTACTTATAAATTTAATTTTCAGGCAAAATGCCTGAAGATTCTCCGCCGTATTCTCTTAAGCCGGCTAAGGTAAAATTATTTTTATTTAAAGGAACTGTCTACGTAATTTCAAGTGACCTCTATTTAAAGGGACTGTCTACGTAATTTCAAGTGACCTCTATTTGATGAACGTTTAAGTTTAAATCACTCTTAATTAGCAATTATAGAACGTAAAAACCTTTTTATATTAATCAAATGAATACTGATATTTTATTAAATATCTTAAGGGAACCCAGCTTTGCCTGGAAACTAAAATTTCGCTATAAAAGTTAACTGACTTAATTAAAAATTGTTGAAAGAGTTCCTTAGTTATTATTGGACATACAACCAAACAAACACCAAGACACCCAAACAGAGATTATTATTTAATATATCTGACTGGTAGTACGATGAGTATATATATTTAAAACTGTCCCTATATAGAAATAATTTTATACTTTTTCTCCAAGATAAGTGATTCTATTGTTCAGTAAAGTGTTGTAACTACCAATTATTGATAAGAGGTCCTATTAACACTAAATACTATTAGACGGTGTTAGGTACTTTCCCAAAGGCATTTTCTCAAAGGCGAATTCCCAAGTGACAACTTCCAAAAATGTGCCATTTCAAAAGCGGCAACTTCTAAAAGGTTAAGTTAGGCCCTTTTAGGCGCCGCAGGCTGCAATGGTGGCCAAGCGCTGCAGCTATGATGGGCTAGCGGGCGTAGCGCTGCGGCTGGGACTTGGTAAATTGCACATTTGGGAAGTTGCCAGGTTGGGAAGTTGCCACTTGGGAAAAATCCTTTATAAAAGTACCTAACATCTATTAAATTCTGGAAGGGGCAGGCAAAGGAATTGAGTGTTTGCCACAAACTTAAATTTTCTTATCCCTATATCTTTGCAATCTCCCAGTGCAACCCTATGATATTTCAAACTTAGTGTTTCTAATCCAACTAAATTTATAGTTTGAAACGCCAACGACAATGACAACGACAGCGACAACGACAACGACAACGACGAAGACAACGACGACAAGGACGGCAACAAGAAAGACAACAAAGACAACAACGACAACAACGATAACAATGACAACAACGACAACAACGACAACAACAACGACAACAGCAACGAAAATTACGACAAAGGTTTGGCTTGGTTGAGGGGTGATTATATATCAAAACAAAAATTATCAATTTATCAATTTAAATTTAAATTTAAATCTATGTAGGTTTATTTTGTAAATTGTTATTTGCTATTTTTACCCTGAAATCGAACCAGGATTTTAGGTAGTAAAAGTTAGACCAGTGTAAAAGTAACATGAAAAATGTAGCCATAGATATCATAAGAATCCGAGACTGGCCTCTCGAGCCAAGCGAGTTATTAAATGAACTATAAATAGAAAATAATAAACGACATTGAATCATATCATAAGTATATTGAATACAACCAGAGAGAGGAGAGATACAAGCTACCCCCCAACCCAACTAATCTATTCATTTTCCCGTAAAAAATTACAATAATGTCATAATGACAATAATGACAATAATGACAATAATGACAATAATGACAATAATGACAATAATGACAATAATGACAATAATGACAATAATGACATAATGACATAATGACAATAATGACAATAATGACAATAATGACAATAATGACAATGATGACAAAAATGACAATAATGACAATAATGACAATAATGACTATGATGACAATAATGAGAAAAATGACAATAAGGACAATAATGACAATAATAACAATAATGACAATAATGACAATAATGACAATAATGACAATAATGACAATAATGACAATAATGACAATAATGACAATAAGGACAATAAGGACAATAATGACAATAATATTTTTTCCAGATTCCAGATTACCCTGATTCTCCAAGAAAACATGAAACTAAACCAATCCAAGGAAATAACAATATGTTAAAACTGTTTAAAATGTAATTTTCAATTTTATCTTTAAGTTTTATCAAACATAAATAAATTGCTGTTTAATAAATCCCAAAAATAAAAATAAATACCAGGAGGTTTTAAAATGTTTTGATTAATTAATTAATTTGGAACTTCTTTAGGTTTCAGTTTTTAGGTTTATTTGAATATTTATATTTAATTAATCAGATGTTCAACTAGGCGGGTACTCAAATATTGAAGACAAAAACCTTTGGATTAAATTACGCTACGAATCGAGGTATGATAAGTTTATTTTAAAATTTAGACTATTGGTTAACTTTCTTCAGGTATCCGTATAATTGGAGAAATCACAGTCCGATTTTTGAAATTTTTATCTGTAGATACAACTGCTACTAGCATTGCAATATTTAAAAAATTTAAAATTTCTTTAAACCGCCATTAATGTTATGAATTAAATGACCCATTACTCGTGTACTAAACATATCACTGTTTTCAAAGTACTTTGTAATTTACACTGTACACAATTATGCACAAATGATCGGCAAAATAAAAAAGTTCATGAAATAATTATGTTATATGTCAACTTCTTTGTACTTTATCAATTGAAAAAAAAATCAAAATGAAGGATTCAGTCTCGAAAACTTGTAGAAATTTTGCATATTTTAAAGGTGTATCGGTCACAACTCAGACAAAAATGTTTTCGATAAGGTTACAAACATATTGTGATAAGATGTTAATTTTAGATCTGTAGTTTGATAATAAAATAAATATTGCCAATAAAAATAAAATTTAATCTATCGGCTTTTTGACCGGGGGGGGGGGGAAACACCCCACCCCCTGGCTTGCTCAGGGTAAAAAATTACTTGGAATTTTTCTTGATAAATGATTAATGCTCATTTCTCTAGGTTTCTAAAGTGGGCTGAACTGGCGCTGAATCCTGTAGTTACTTTCTTTTCACTTTTAGTCATTATAGGTGAGTGAGTTAAATATGCGAAAGTTGTGGACCATATACCTTGAATTGAAAAGCCCTTTTTACTACAGCTGCATTTGGACAAATATTTCCTTTAAAAATAAGCGTACTGCTTACTTAGAAAAACAGCGTAATGATAAATTCGGAAAAAGGAATTGAGTCTTTGCCACAAACTCTGATCTTCTTATCTTTATTTCTTTGCAACCCAATGTAGTATAACTTTAAAATTTCAAACAATGAGTTCTATGAGGTGAAATAATCTAAGTTTGAAATATCAAAGGTTTACACGATTAGGTGGCACAGATATATGAATTTGAAATTTGTTGTTTGTGGCAAAGACTCAATTCCTTTCTCCTTTAAAAAAAGCGTACTGCAAACTTCGGATACATTTTCCCTTTAGAAAAACAGCGTTCTGAAAGATCGTGCAAATGTGCTGACATGATTTAAATAAAAAAATTACATTTAATACATCTAAAAAAGGGTTTCATTATATTTTTGCTTTTGTAATTTTCTTGTTTTTGATGTAGATACTAGATACTTCTCAGATTAGATTTGCACTTCTATGAGACAAAACAAAACAACACTGAATACACAACTATATTTAAAACAATTTTTTATAAGATTTAAAGGGACTGTACGTAGTTTCAAGTGATAAAGATAACAATGCCCGAATCACAATGTTAATAATTTTAAAATCTGATTATTTTTTCTTGTGGTTTCTCTTTAAAAGGAACTTACGCATTTCTACCATTGTAAATCAGGCATTGTCGTCTTTGCAAAAGGTCAATTAAAATTATGTTTACAGTTCCTTTAAATGAGTCACTGACCTGCGACTAACAGGAATTGAATCTTTGTCGCAAACTACGTTTTTCTAATCCTTATATCTTTGCAACCTGTTGGTGTACACATTCAATATTTTAAACTTAGATTATTTGATATACCAAAATTCATAGTATGAAATATCTCAGGTCTACGAAGAAATAGGAATTATAATTTCTGCGTTTTTAGCAAAGACATATTTCCTTTTCAGTGTTAAATAAACAATATCATTGTTAGAATTGCGGTATTCAATAATATGATATGTTTAGCATTTGTGGTCTGGGCTATACTCAAACCTGAAGAGGCGAGTGTGGAGTTCTCAAGTTGGAAAGCTTGGATAGGAAAATCATTTTCTTGGCTTTTCATGGGATCTACGGTATAACTTTTCATGGGATCTACGGTATAACTTTTCATAGGATCTACGGTATAACTTTTCATGGGATCTACGGTATAACTTTTCATAGGATCTACGGTATAACTTTTCATGGGATCTACGGTATAACTTTTCATGGGATCTACGGCATAACGTTTCAATAAATATCTATCTTCTTGTGTACTTTAAATTGTACATTGTTTCAACCAAAACTTATGAACCGTTTTTTCCATGAACCGGTGATCTAAAAATTCAGGAAAATACGACTCAGGTCTAAGCTGCCGTAGGGCCTTCCTTACGGCTTGGGCTTTTGTATTTAAGTTTCATCTAATTGTGCACAGAGTGAAGTTTATCAAGCCGGTTTAATATTTTACCGCCTTTTGTTGACCATCATTACCGTCTTTTGATCCCTCCAACAGAGGGACGTTCAGTTACTTAACGTCCCTCGGGACAATTGAGTAATTTCGAGAAAAAATTCGCGCATTTGCATCTCAAAAGACGATACTTTTTTGTGAAATTGAATAAGATACTTAAACCACGGGTTTCCTTGGTAAAGTAAAATTCTCTTAACTTCCCTGTCAAGTAGTTGTAAATTCGTTTTTGGCGGATTTTCATGGGTGGAATTCGCGCATTCCGTGTTTTGATGAGAAGCACATGTTGTCGCCAGAGTTAAGATTGGGTCTCAATTTTGGAATTACGATCTCAAGCCGAAGCTTTTTAATTTCGGACTCAAACGAGATAAGTTATCAAATTTCGAATATTTCGAAAAAAATCGCAATTTTTTATTATTATTTACAAATTATTATCAAAAAGTTACTTATCTGTCATGTAAGTTGTGTTTCAAACTTATTTGGCATTTGTTCTGCTTTTAGACATCTAACCCATTACTTTTAAGCTCACAATAATTTTGAATTTGGTAGTCTTATCTATTTTTAATAAGGCTGTTTTCCAGAAATATATGAAAAGAAAATTTTCCACTAACAACAACGTGGTTTATTTTACATGATAAACATCAATCAAAACAAAATTGGAGAACTAATTTTCTTTTCGTTTTTAAATGTTCTCAAATTAGATTTCTTGTTAAATGATATAATAAATTCATACTCGGTAGATTATTATTTTTCCATGCGTCAACAGATTTTTTATATTAAAATGTACAAAATTGAATTACCGAGATGCCATTATAATATATTGAAAATATGTTTTGACGAACGTTGTAGAACGTTAGCAAAACATCAACTATAAGGTACATTAATCCCCCCCCCCCTCCCTTTTCCTCTTTTTAGTTATATTTGGTCTATAACTAATCTATAAAATTGTTCATAACTTTTAAATTTAAAAAAAAAATTTGAAAAAAACATTTTTTGGTGGCTTTTGATTGAAAGAGCATACAGTTTAACCCGGAGACATCGAAAGAATTCATAAAATGTCATTTTCTAAACCTGAAAATAAAATTCTGCAAATATGTAGTTTTAAATTGAATAATTGTATGGAGCTCTTTAAAACAGTTCCTGCATATTTCATGGCTAGTTAATTTTCAATTACCAAGATTTAGTTATAAAAGTAAAAAAGCCATTGAAAAAAATGTCAAGACGACATTCTAGAGAAAAAAAATGTAGTACTAGGTTAAACGGAGTTTATTAAATACGGCTAGAGAGTGTCCTGAGATCTATAAATTGGTTTCATTTCACTTAAATATAAATGATTTTTTTAATGTAAACAACACAGAAACCAGTGCAAATATTTTCTTTTGAGTTCAAGACAACAAACAGTCAATGCATGATTCCTAAAAAAAGATAAACATTAAGCAGCTTGAGTTTTGACCCAATTAAGCTAATTATTTTTATTATTTATTTTATAATTAATTATTTTAATTATTTAAATTAAAAAGAATTATTTTTATTATTTATTTTAGAATATTTGGGCAGTGTTCATTGTAGTGATATATTGCAGTAAATATTCTGAGTTGAAGCTTGGAAAGGTTAGCTAAAATTAATATTGATAAAATACATGAATACAATATTTAAGGAATAATAAGAATAATTTATATGGAATATAAAGTACAATATTTATAGAAAAAAGTACAACATTTAAGGAAAAAAGTACAATATTTAGGGAATGTTAAGTACAAAATTAAGGCATATAAAGTACTATATTTAAGCAATATCCTAATCAAGAATATGTTTTTTAGCTTGATAATCAAGTCCAAGCCCAAGCGCTACAGGGTATTGAATTCTTGTGTATTTCAAGTATATAGTACAATTTTTATTAATAAAATTTGGTAATCTAAAATTCATGAGTTCAACATTTATTAATATAAAGTACAATATTTAGGAATTTGGATTACACGAGAACACCACTCAGGAATCCAAAGTATATGCGAACAAAATTTATGAATATAAAATACAATATTTAAGTGCATAGAGTAAATAACTTCCATATTTAGGAAACTAAGGTACAAGAGTAAAATATTCATGAATATGGAGTATATAGCACATTATTTTAGAATATAAAGTCCAAAAAATAGGAGTATGGAATACAGAAGTATTTTATTCAAGAATATGGATAGAATGAGTACAATGTTTAGAAATTTTAAGTACATGAGTACCCTATTTAGGAATGTTTAGGAATATTCATGAATAAAAAGTAGCACAGCCAGATTACATTCATATAAGATTTAAAAGTTGTAAAACTTGTTTTTACACGAGTAATACGGTGGTAGGCGATTTTAACAATAAAAGAAGACGACATTTTATTTAAGTTTCAATTGTTAACAAGCCGTTTTTTGAAATACAAGTTTATAAGTAATTAAAAAAGAAGCTTTTTAGTCATCTTCTCTTTGATTACATGTTTTTGTGTATCCATGCTGTTTAAAAGCTTGATATGAATAAAAATTGAAATCGGTAGTCATCTTCATTATATTGATATAATCACCTACTACTGTATATAAGGAAGACGATGTACCAGAGTACAATGATGCTAGTTGGTTCTGTATGTTGTTCTCCTGCGGGGTCAGTACTGGACTTTTCTTCTTTGGTGTAGCAGAGCCAGTAATGCATTATACACAGGCTAATAGGTGAGTCATCCGGGATTTAAAGAGACTGTCCCCGAAATTTGAACTGACCCTCATTTTAAACCAGACCAATTCACAATAGCACCCTTTAGCCTTTTGTTGGATACACAATGCGGAAGATATTGTGGTGTTACCGTCATTTTGAACTGGGCGTGTAACTATTTATATCATAGATTAAAAAACAATACATATAACAATATATGTCGTCTTTTCAAGATTTTGTGGTTTTTTGTTCAAAGGAAGAAGCCCTATGGAATTACGCGCATGCAGCATTGAATTACAAGAAAGATAAAGAGCCTTCTTCTGCCTCAGCATGATTGTGAACAAAAACCCTAAATCTTGAAAAGACGATATCCAGTGATCGTTATGTAATGTTATTAATATATGGTTTATATGAAATGTTATTTGTATTTATTTAGTAAAATAAAACATAAATAAATTTGGTGCTTATGGTTCAACTGATATTTTGTATTGTATTCATGTTTTTCTACAATTATAGATTTGTTTTTGGAAAAAACGAAGTGGTAGAATTAAGCTTTTTGAAACGACCGTTCCATAAATCTATAGTTTCAAAACGATCATTTAAAAAAATAATCGTTTCAAAAACGGAAATAGGATAGTTCTGAAAACGATCATTTTGGGATAAAAACAACAGATTTGAAAAAAAAAATTTTAGATTTACGAATTTTGTTTTAAGTATTTAAAAATTTCAAAATGAAGTTTTAATCTGAGTCAAAGTGATCCATTTTTCAAAAAAAAATATGTAAATTTTTTTCAAAGATATTTAAATTTTGTTTACAAAAATTAAAATGTTTTTATAAACAATATTGGAAACTATGGTTTTTCCATTTTTGAAAACGAAAGTTTTGAAAACTATGGTTTTACGGAATTAAGTCTTTTTAAAACCGATGGTTAAAAAAACTTTAAAACTATCATAACTTAGTGTCATCCCTATCAAAAATGACTTAGTGTCATACTTTTCTCATAGTTAACAAAACGAAAAAAAACTTTTCTCAAAAAGGTCAAAACTGACCAATCCTACTTGTGCATTACTTGCTTATAAGAAAAAAATCAGAAAGGAATTGAGTTTTTGCCACAAATGCCAATTTTATGATACCTAAATCTCAACAACCAGATGATGCATACCTTTCGTATTTCAAACTTACATTGTTTGATCCACCAAAATTCATAGTTTGAAATATCTACGATCTACGATATTTGATTTTAAAGAAATTTGGATTTAAAAATCCAATTTTGTAGCAAAAACTCAGTTCCTTTACAGAAGGTACAAAAAGACAATCAAATTTGTCACTGAATTTCCATGTTTATTGGGACATCCTGTATATTCCAAATTAAAGGTGTTCATAGTAAATCGGGCATTACTGTCTTTTTATGGAGGCTCAATTCAAATTACTTGAACAGTCCCTCTAAGTCCTTTGTATTGGGCCTTTTAATCCTTTTAATGTTATAATTTGTAAGATTGTCTAGTTGGAATTTAAGTTGTTAGTTTATTCATAAATTCAAAAGCTTTAGAAATGAGTGATGAAATAGAAATGCCTAGTTACACTTCTCATATTAAATAACAATCAAAAATAAAATCAACAAAATTCAAACCTTCTATCCTAAAATTATATTTGTAAATGACGTTTGTAAATTGTCAATTGTAAATTGATAATTGACCATTATAGATTGACAGTTATAAATTTACTATTGCAATTTGAGAATTGTAAATTAACAATCGTAAATTAATAACAGTTAATAATTGTAAATGTACTGTAAATTAGCTAACTGTTAATTGGCAAACTGTATCCAAGTAACTTTTTGTAGGTATACAGCAAACCCTGGTTTACCAGACAACAAGCTGGCGGAGGAAGCTGTAAATCTGACCCTCTTCCACTGGGGACTACACGCCTGGGTGGTTTATACACTAGTTGGTCTTCTTCTCAGTGTCATGTCTCATAGGTAATCCACTGATGGGTATCTGAATAGTTAACCCTGAACAACTAGTGGGTATCTAATTGGTTAACCCTAAATGGTTGGTGGATATCTAATTAGTTAACCCTAAATTACTAATGGGTATCTGATTAGTTAACCCTAAATTACTAATGGGTATCTGATTAGTTAACCCTAAATTACTAATGGGTATCTGATTAGTTAACCCTAAATTACTAATGGATATCTGATTAGTTATTTATCCTTAAATGGCTAATAAGTATCTGATTTGTTAACCCTAAATGGTTGGTGAATATCTGATTAGTTTAACCTAAATAACTAATGGATATCTGATTAGTTTACCCTAAATTGCTAATGGATATCTGATTAGTTTACCCTAAATTGCTAATGGATATCTGATTAGTTAACCTTAACTGGTTAATGGATATCTGATTAGTTAACCTTAACTGGTTAATGGGTAGCTGATTAGTTAACCCTAAATGACTAATGGATATCTGATTAGTTATTTATCCCTAAATGGCTAATAGGTATCTGATTTGTTAACCCTAAATGGTTGGTGGATATCTGATTAGTTTAACCGAAATAATTTTCTAATTTTTCAGGCAACCAAAATTTGTATAAGTCAATTTAAGAACACTAATTTTAATGGTTAAGGTGCTGGGCTGTTTCAAAAACAGTTCAAATGTAGTTAAAAAGATTATTTTTTAAGGGAAATTAGCTCCAAAACTAAAACTTGGCCCATTTCTAAAACTGAGAGTTAGACATGGGCCAAATCTGTAAAGTTATTTTATTCAAGGTATATATACCTTTTAATCCAAGCTGAGTTAAGCAAAACTAAACAAACCATTTATAAAAAAGGAATTGAGTTTTTGCTCAAACTCTGATTTTCTTATCACTATATCTTTTTCACCCAATGTTGAAGACTTAAAGTATTTCACACTATGAATTCTGTTGAAATGTTCTTTGTTTGAAAAAACAAAGGTTTAACTCATTAATTTGTTTAACTTTTTTTTTAACAATTTCAAAATTAATGGTTTTTGCCGTTTGTTAACGGACTCTTTCTTTATTTTTTGAAAATGGAACTTTGCTCTGCCTTACTCACCAGTTCAACTTGAAATCCCACAGTGTGTTTAATTAATGCAAAAATAGGTTAGCTGGATACATGTGCACATGTTAAGATCTTTATTAAAAAAATTATACTTCACATTTCAAATGAAATAAGTACTGGATTTTGCTCACTCACTTATTCATGTACATCTCTTCCTGAAACATAGTACAGGAGGGCTTTTGTTTTCCGAGCAAAAAAATTATAGTAGCTTTGATGGAGAATAAGAATGCAAAGTAAGGCTATTCGGAATATTAATCTGAAAAAATTACTAACAATCAGAAATGACCAATATGAATATTTCTCATCAAAGGCCATGTAAGAGCCTATTTGAATGCTGACAATTAGCAAGCTTAGAAAAAGCCCTTTAAGCATTATAACTTTAGTCTTCTTATTCTCCAGTGGAACAAGATCAGATTCACCCTGTAGGAAAATTTGAGAAGTAGATTTTGATTGTGTGCTTTCCTTCTGTACTGGCACTTTCATGAGATCTACTTTTCTTGTTCTGCCAACTGTCTGAGAAGTTTTTGATGATGAATTAGACAATTTGACCATATCGCTGGAATGCTGTGTTCCTATATTAGTGTCAAAATTTTCATTAGCATTGACAATATTAATGATTTGTTGATTTGTTGTTGCATCATTGGTTTCCTTAACTTCTTCAACTATTGTAAGTATCCTTTGAGTAGATGGTAATGCTGTGATGTTTTTAACTTTTCTAACATGTTTATAGGGTTGTACTCGAACAATTGGTTCACTTGTTGGAAGTGCCTTATCATTTTCATTTTCAGGAATGGACCTGATATTCTGTTTCAGGGCTGTTGTTTCTTCAACTACTCCTCGAATTGTATAGACCTGGATGTTACTCAAATTTGCATTGTCTTCTTTAACTTCCCTGTCTAGTGTTTTTTGAGTCCTGGAACCCTTTTTAGCATACATCACAGTTTGTGGAATGTGAACAGTCGAAGAACATGAACAATCTTCATTAATTTCAAACTGGACCGGGGGGTTTTCCTCATGTCTTGGAGAATCATGAACAGTTTGAATTCCTACAATATTCTCTTTGGAAGAAATGATACTGTGTTTGCCAACACTGTTGATTTTCTTTTTTATATATTTGCGTATGTTATTTAAATTTTCTTCCAATGAGCAGGCAAGATGAATGAGTATTGAGGCCCAAACAGAAAAATCAATGAAATAAATTGGATTCCATATGATCTGAATAGATGAGGGAATTTTAATGTCTATTCCCATTGCAACCAAAGCTGTAACTTGTATTGTTTGAAAATCACAAATGTTCCCTGTTGTAAACCAGATCAAAAGAAGAAAGAAGCCAGTGAAAGATATAATACCAGTCAACACTATTTTTCCTGCTTTTTCATGATCCAGTTGAATGAACCAGAATGTTTTGTATCTTAAAACTACGCGAAATACGGCAAGTAGAAAAATAAAGGAGCATAGTGGAATGTACGGCAGATAAGTAAAAACAGAGACACCAAGACAGAGAGTATCAGGGTCTTCTTGGATTAGTCTGAGCATAAGGTCTTTGGTTCTTTTAAATAACCCGGAAAATTGGAGGATCCAGAAAGATATATCCTGAGCCATGATAGTATAAGACATCATCACTATAAATTCAAGCTTTCCTTTCATGAATATTAAACAGGCAAGAATTAAATGTGTTAATTGTAATTTATCTAAAACTGGGGGGAAATTTGTTAGACAAAACTTTTTTAAAGTATGTTTCCTTGCTTTTATAGAATATATTTAACAAAAAAATCGCCTGTAGGAACCTAATTAATATTAAGAAATGAAATGAAGAAAATATTTTATAGGAAAGCAGATAACATCTGCAGATTTAATAGCATTAAAGCTGGTTTAAAGTCATGGCATCATATAATTTAATGAAAGCTTTCCTGTGAGATAGTTAAGAATTGTTTTGTCAGCAGGTGGTCCCTGAATCTGATATGATCTTAAAAAAAACATTGAACATTTTTGTGTGTTTCTCTTAAAGGAAGTGGTACATAAATGTATTAAGAGGTTAATAAAGTTATTATTTAATAATAAAATAATTATTTATAACACTATTATTTTGGTTTAAGATTAAGTTGATGAGTAAAAATTTGTTCTATCTCTTTAAAGAGAAAGTTCAACCCTTTTAAGATGTCATTTGGATCTTGACATTAGCAAGGGACAAACTATAATGCTAAAGAGCACAGAACCTTGAAGAAATAAAGAAAAAAATATGTAAATTGTTATAACATGCAGCCAAAACAATGGTAATAAGTGTTATGTAATTTATTTAAATTATTTCTGCTCTAATTTTTGCTGCAATGCTCTTCTCTAGTAGAGAAAATCCGGGAACTAGTAAGTTTTTTAAATCACTGCTATGATTCACATCTGATTAAACATTACAGAAGTATGATTTTTGCTACATTTTTTGAGATTTAGAGGACATTACGCATATCATATGAATTCTATTAATCTACAAGCTCTACAGTAACAATGGCTAGCTAAAAATACTATGGCGGCAGCTCACGGTTTCATTGTGCATAGGTTGTGGAAATCATTCTGTTCTTTGGACAAAAGGAGCTTGATTCAAAATAAAAATATTTTCTTAATGCTATGTTTTATCTTTCATTCTACACTTCCACATAAAGATCAAAGGAACTGATTTGGATGTTTATAAATATTTGAATTTTGTTTAACATGCTGATAGTAAACTTTGAACATCTAAAAATTAACCTGAAGATAATGTGAGCATATATACTGACTAACAATGTCCCAGAGTCCACAAGAAGGGTGTATGGGTTCTGTGGATTTGGAGGAACACACATTGCCACCAAAATGTAGAAAATGAGATATTTTGTTCTTTTCTCCATCTTCAACTGAAATAGTTGAAGACTATTCTTTGGTTATTTCTTGATATGGTTGTATTTTTGGTGTATTAACATTAGCAATTTCTTTTAGGGGGAATAACTTTGTAGTTAAACATATATTCTACTTTTCTCTTCCCAATACGTTAGCATCTAGATGTTGTGCAGACCTTCTATATCATAAAATATGAACTCTAAATTAAAAAACCGAAGTTTTAGATATATCAAGAAACAGCTATAAGAAAATTTGAGTTTTTGCAAAAGAACTTTCTTCTTCAAAATATCTACATTATTACATTATTATAGCTGAAGCTTATCTTTTTCAATAGTCTCACTTTTTTATTAACCTCCTTACCACACAATTGTTAAACAACTTCTGATTCTAAATTGGGCTTATCCCCCTTTTATTAAAATAGAGAATAATGTAAGAGCAGCAAGTTGGGATAGTTGCTCGGATACTAAAAACTCTCTTTCATATCAATGAAAGCAACTGAAAAATTGTGCAAGTACCATAAAAAATTTAATACAAAAAGCAAATTTAATATTGTGTTTAATAACAATAATAATAATAATAGTAATAGTAAGCTTATTCTTCCGATGTACCAAAAATTACAGTATTTGTATGTGAATTATTTTTAAAATTTTGAATACCAGTGAGCGAGCAAAAGCTTTACTTTCAAAAGCGCCCTAGTAACATAAATTTAAGACATAAATCGGCATAATAAACATAATACTTCTAATCAGAATCATACAAAGTGCTTTCTGCGGGAGTTCTTCAGGGCTCTTTTCTTGTAGCTTTATTGTTTTTTATTTATGTCAACGATTTTTATAAATGTACTGATGCCCTTTCAATTGTATATTTAGATGATACTTCATGTTTATTTAAACATAAAGATATGCATATTTTAAGAAACCTTAAACTCTTTATGGGTGTAAAAAAAAATTTTCCTCAGAATTGGCTAAAATTTTAAACATCATCTACATTTGACCCAAAAAAAACCATTATCGACTTTTTCAAAACAATACATTGTACTTTTGAACAAAATTCTATCAACAAGACATTTTCCTAAAATTTTGAAAATGTTTTTTTTTACATATTTGTTCATGTATTACATGAAAACGTCAATATCAACGTTTTCATAAAGTATCATTTCTGATAACTCAATATCGACAGACTTAAAAATGGCAAGGAAACCCCCCAAAAAAACAAAAAAAAATTGAAAATAAGATGAAAACTAAATTTAGCATGTTTTACTTTTTCCTATATTTTCTACCTGTCTTTTCATTGTGATTAGCTCTGTGAGACTTATGATGGGGAGTACAGTACTAGTTATAGAAGTGAGAGCTCAAGATAAAAACTTGGTCACAAGTGGAGCCGGTCACATATTTGGTTAAATTATTATCATTAAAACAGATCAGATTTAGACAAACATGAGTATTAATTTTTAAACTGTAAATTTTATATAAAAAAAATCTATTAAAAAATATTCTTTTTTGTCGTATGGTTTGCCTTTTTAGAACCTACAAGTTTTTTGGGTTTTTAAAAACTACAAATCTTGTTTTGATTTTACAATGTTGGTCACCAATTTTGTACAACAGTGAAAATAGGCAAACTCTTCTGTAGTATAATTACAATAATTAAACTTAGGATTGCTAAGTTGCCCTCTCCACCCTCCCGTTACAGGAATGCTAATTACAATTTATTTAGGGAGGGATTGCCAATGACGATCAAGTCTTGCTTCTATCCTTTGATAAAGGACAAGATCTATGGCTGGCCTGGCGATCTGGTAGATATACTTTCAGGTAGATATAGTTGATATACTTTCAGGTAGATGTAGTTGATAAACTTTCAGGTAGATGTAGTTGATATACTTTCAGGTAGATGTAGTTGACATACTTTCAGGGAGATGTAGTTGATATTCTTTCAGGTAGATGTAGTTGATATACTTCTGTCTTTCATGTAGATATTTTGATATACTTTCAGGGAGATGTAGTTGATATACTTTCAGGTAGATATATTTGATATACTTTCAGGTAGATGCAGTGATTATACTTTCAGGTATATATAGTTGATAAACGCGACTTTCAGGTAGATTTTAAGGTAGACATAGTTGATATACTTTCAGGTAGGTGTAGTGGATATACTTTCAGGTATATATAGTTGATAAACGTGACATTTAGGTAGATATAGTTGATACACTTTCAGGTAGATATAGTAGATATACTTTCAGATAGATATAGTTGATGTACTTTCAGATAGATATAGTTAATGTACTTTCAATTGTTAAGCCATGAATTTAGCCTAACATTAGCTTGTGCAATCGTTATGATTTCAACAGAACAGGAAATAATCCTTTGAGAGCAGCCAAATTGGATTACTATAAGTATTCCTGATAGGATTGCAAATTTAGGAGGATTGTTTTTTTTAAATCGCATTAACGTCTACTGCATTCATTCTAAACAGTTGGTCTTGACTTACCCCTCTCCCCTCTCCACCACCCCCATCCAGGTTTTCCCATTCCTCTTTAAATATAACTCCTTCCATTCCCACCTTATAAAAGCATGTTCCCATATATTGTATTTCTTCTTGTCTCTTGGGCCTGACTAAAATGGACTATTTTGAGCAGAATATTTTAGGATTAGCATTTTCGTTAAATGTATCTTCATATTATTGGCTTGATACAAATCAAAATTGCAAAATTTTTTATTTTCTTTCGAATTTGCAGCTGGATAGAGTACAAATTAAATTTGCTGATTTTACTTAATTTACTCATTAGTAAATGCCACTTCATATCTTAGGTTTTTCTTGAGACATTTTGCACACACTCATTTAGCAAATGGAAAATGTACCTGTTGAAAACTGTGATTTTCTGAACTTTCAAACGTATTCTTACTTTTTGCATATTTTAATCAATGTTTAAAGCTTTAATTAAACACTTTATTTGTTATATTAAAAATCATTGCGTATATGTGCAGCAATTTGTTTGATAATTTTAAATTATCTAAAAAGTGTCATGAAAGATCAGAAGTTTTTTGATCTAAAGAGGCAGTTTAACTTTCTTGTTGGATGATTTATTTCTCTAAAATAAATCGTTTATTGTATATTTACATTTTAAAGTACACAATATTCTGCATGAAGTACGCTGCTTAACATTCTTATAAAGGTAAAGTTCGGTTCTCAGGTAGTAGGATCATTTGACAGTGTCTACATTGAAGTTATGTTTTGGCCAGTGGAAATACAGTAAAGGTCTGTTCGTTTTTTACTTTACTGCTCAATATTTGCATTTTATTAATTCAAACTTGTTTTTAGTTATTGCAACAATGTTCGGAGTGTGCACCAGCTTAGGACTTGGGACAATACAGGTAATCAATTCATCAATTAATCAATTAATCAATTAATCAATCAAACAATTAATTGATCAATCATTCAATTAATTAATCAATCAATCAAGAAATCGATAATTTAATTATTTAATTAATTAATCAATCAATTAATTTATATATCAATCAATAAATTAATTTCTTAATTGATTTATAGATTATATAAATGAATCAATTGATTAATCAATCAAAAAAGAAAAACTAAATAATTTCTAATCAATTAATCAACTACTCTAGATTTATAAAAATGCAGTCAATGCATAAGTCAATAATTCAATCAATACATCAATCAATTATACAATAATTTATAAATTAAATGATCAATTCATTAATTAATTGATAAATGTATTAATCCATTATAATTAATCAAATAAATCAATTGTTTATTCAATATCTTAACAGATTAATCAGCTAATCAAACAAAAAAAAACTCAATTGATTAATCAAGTAATCAATTAATAATTACTATTAATATACTATTCAATCAAACATTACTATTAACAACTCCATTACTTAATCAATAATTAATTAATTAATTAATCAATGTATTGCTGAAATCCATTTTCTAAGTTGTTTAAATAATATTCACAAATTCACAAATAGAAATGAAAAAAAAAATCGATATCAAGTTTTGTCGGACAAGGGTTTAAATGGCACTGTCTCTTTGTACATCAGGATACTTGAAATTACATCGCAGTCCCATTAATGTATTATATGTTCGATATTGTGTTTAGATAAACGAGGGATTGAATCTTCTCCATGGTGGAATACCAATAGGAACAAATACTCAGATAGCGATCATTTGGATCGTTACAGCTGTAGCTTCAATCTCCGTGGTCTCAGGTTAGATAGATAGATAGATAGATAGATAGATAGATAGATAGATAGATAGATAGATAGATAGATAGATAGATAGATAGATAGATAGATAGATAGATAGTACTTGGTCCTCATTCCTCCACCAGTTTCGCTGATTTCTTAAAAAAGCATCTGTATATTTACAGGAGTAGGAAACGGAATTCGTAGGATCAGTGAGTTCTGTTTTGCGTGTGGAATGGTTATAATGCTGATCGTTCTCTTTCTCGACAAAACCGTCTTCATTCTAAATCTCTACGTTCAAGCCATCGGTAGGTTGATAAACTATCTTGGATTAAAAATGGATTGTTTCACTGAATATGACAGTAAGGACGGCTTCATGAATCGGTAGGTTGATAAACTATCTTGGGTTAAACATGGGTTGTTTCACTTAAAATGACAGTAAGGGACGGCTTCATGGCATCGGTAGGTTGATAATCCACCTTCGATTAAACATGGGTTGTTTCACTATACATGACAGTGGAGGGATGGCTTTATGACATCGGTGGGTTGATAATCCACCTCCGGTTAAGCCTGGGTTGTTTCACTTTACATGACAGTTGAGGGACGGCTTTATGACATCGGCAGGTTGATAATCCACCTTCGGATAAACATGGGTTGTTTCACTATGCATGACAGTTGAGGGACGGCTTTATGACATCGGTAGGTTGATAATCCACCTTCGGATAAACATGGGTTGTTTCACTATACATGACAGTTGAGGGACGGCTTTATGACATCGGTAGGTTGATAAACCACCAGCTTGAACAAGATTGTTTCATCAAGAAGTAAACCATGGAACCCCTATATCTTTTTTTTCGTGAAAAGTGTACTGCAGTTTCTTGAATGATATGTAAATCAACTTTGTGTTGCTCAAGTTCAACGTAGTACATCCTGTATTTAGAAACTTAAGATTGATCCAATATGCTCATTTAATTTATTCTAAAAAATGCTTCTTAATCATAATTGTGTCATATAAGTCACGAGCTTTATTTGAAACATATAAACACATAAATTCGAATTTGAAATATTTACAACGAAAATATACAATTTTATTTTTCTACATAAAATTTAGGAATTTTATTTCAGAAACAAATGTACAAATATTTCTTACCTAACAAATAATATATTTGTTAGGTTATACTACTTCCAGCAAATATATGTTCCTTTATACAAATAATATATTTGTCAGCATCACAGAACAATGGTTAAAATAGAAGGGAAATAAGAATATCCCACGGTATTAATTTGTTTAGGACTCTTGTAAGCCTGAAAAGGAGTTCAAAGTGAACAATTCATGTAAATGTTCACAAATTATACGCAATACATTCCAATAATACAGTATGATCCCTGTTTAAAATTTCTTCTTTTTATAAAGTTTATGGTGAACTGAACTCGGGTATGTAAAATAAAGCTTATGCTGAAATGAACTCAGGAATACATGACAGGTTGTCACAGAATTGACTCAGAGAAAATTAAATAAGTTTTTTTTTAAAAATGTTCTACAAAAATGTTCTGCAGTGAGCAAAAGGTTATTTAGCCACAAATGTGTGAAGTACACCTACAGCATGGAAACAGTTTTACAAAATGGCGGTTTTACACTCTATTCGACTTAATTCCACTCTATACTTATCTATTCTATTTGGTTAGGATACTATTTCCAGCAAATAATCTGGATTGGATTTCACACTGATGCATTCGAGCAGCTGGGTCCTAGTTCAGGAGCAGAGGACAGAGGACGCTTTCTACCTGAAGGGGTGGACTCTACTGATGGACCTCAAAGGTAATCTTATCGCCTTGTAGAGGTTTACCCTATCCCGATTGGGCTACTTTTGTCTAATATAGATTGAGACGGGTGGGTGGGGTAGGTTTTAGAAAAAGTTTTAAAAATACGTCGGAAAAATGTTGACATTTTTTTTGCATGTGACAAATATTACCATGTGATGATGTGACACATGTTTTTACATCCATTTTTAAATAGCTTTTCAAATATAGAAAGGGATTGTAATCTTGTACCTTTATTGGCTCAGATACATTTTGCCTAGTTCGGTTTTGCCTAATCATATTTTGCCTAGTAACATTTTGCCAAGTCACATTTTGCCAAGTCACATTTTGCTTAGTCATATTTTGCCCAGTCACATTTTGCTAATCATATTTTGCTTGTTCATAATTTGCCTAGTCATATTTTGCCTAGTCACATTTTGCCTAGTCACATTTTGCCTAGTCACATTTTGCCTAGTCACGTTTTGCCTAGTCACATTTTGCCTAGTCACATTTTGCCTAGTCACATTTTGCCTAGTCACATATTGCCAAGGTAACAGTTTGCCTAGGTAACATTTTGCCAAGATAACGGTTTGCCTAGGCAACATGTTGCTCAGGGTAACATAAGAGCAAATTTTTTGCCTTGTAAATAATTTTTTCACAAAGAAAATTTTCAAAATCCGCAAATTTTCATCAAAAACGTTGTATCCTGAAAATCATTCAGTTTCCTACCATACCAAACCATGCCGAAAGATAATTATATTCAAACCCTTGCTCCATTATGTAAAATGTATTTTTGAAATATATATATATATCTGAATTAAGTAAATACACGCTAATTTTGTTGTAGAGGAGAATCAAAACTCTTCATCATTGTATTGGTTTTGAATCATGTTATTTGGAATGGTTTAAATCCTAACCAAGATACAATTCAATTGTCTTATAACATTTAATTCATGTAAATTTAACTGGTTCAGCTTTAAAATATTAAATAATGTTTAATATTTGACAAAATCTGATTGAAAAAAGCATTAGACATAAAACATGCTCTCAGGTTACCTATTCAAAATGTGACTAGGCAAAATGTGACTAGGCAAAATGTAGCTGAGCCCCTTTCTCTAACCAATATCATCATTTTTGTTGCTATTATTGTTTCATGTGAAAATTCCCTCCATTATTTCAGAACATAAAAAATATTCTTGATTAGACCAAGGTTTTTGGGGTACCGTTGTGAATTGGACATTTTTCGTTATAACCTTGCTATCTCTTATGTCAAAGAATGTTTGAATTCGAAAAAAAGTTACACATTTCAATTTGATCGCAGCAAAATTAGAGTTACGTTAACATACCCTTTAACTATAAAGATGGATGGATCTCTGGACTATCTTCTACTGGTCCTGGTGGATAGCTTGGGCTCCCTTTGTCGGCATGTTTATTGCTAAAATCTCAGCTGGTAGAACAATAAAGGTAGAATAAATCTTTCTAAAAAACTATTGTGTACTTCATTTGGACTTCTATGAGAAGGGTTCTGGAGAGGGAGGAAGGCCAACCACAACAATTATTCGCCCCAGCCATATTCTCCTCATCCGAGCCGCATCGAAATCCTCGTCCTTCCAATATTATTTCTTTTTATATGTTCAACGCTTTCAAATATGAATATTTTTGAAAATCTGGTGGCTCGGACGAGATATTGTAGTGGTTGGCCTTCCTCCTCTCGTTATGAAGCATTAAAATTTTATTGAAAGCTAGAACTAACGAGATATGTAAAATTTAATAAATTTTCCAAGATTTTAAAACTGAATTTTGCTATAATTTGATTTTATTAAACTGTAATATTTTTATTATTACAAATAGGAAAAATCCTATTTTAGTAGAAAATACATGGGAACATTGGATGTTTACAACCATGCGAAAAAGGGGCAATTGATATAAAAACACCCCTGGATAATAGTTAACGGCGACACTTCCGCTAACGTCGTCAATATAACTGAGATCGTTAACCAACAGTACCTTTAAATAAACAAAAAAATACCGTAATGTTCAGTTCTTTGCTAAGTGATATCTGAAAGTTGATCTAATGAATGATTTTAGCATAACCGCTAACAAACAGAAAATTAAATCGTGCCAAGCCACTAAAATTTCAACATTAAAGTTTAATTTTCAGTATCGAGGCTTAAAAGTTTTATTTCTCAAGGTAAATTAATTATTGATTGAACACAACACACAGATGCATATATTTACAGTACATATAGAGTATACAGAACATAGTATACACAATATGAACAGTATTCAGTATATAGTATATAGTAAACAGTTTACAGTTTACATTATACAGTACACACAGTATACACAGTATACAGTATACAGTATACATTATACATTATAGTAAACAGTTAACAGTATACAGTACACACTACACAGTACAAACAGTATACAGTAACAGTATGCAGTATATACACAGTTTTAACATATGCAGTATAATACTATACAGGATACAGGATATAGTATAATAGTATACAGTATACACAGTGTACAGTATACACAGTATACAGAGTTTACAGTTTACAATATCCACAGTATACAGTATACACAGTATACAGTATACACAGTATGCAGTATATACAGTATACAGTATACCCAGTATATACAATACACAGAACACAGTACACAGTATTGATAATGATAATTGAGACCCAAACTTCAGTTTTGTGGTCGTTTTTTTTATATATTTCTTATTTCAAGGTCAAAATTTGACACAATATGAAAAGAAAAATTATTTAAAAATTGTTTATTCTAAACATTTTCTGTTCTGACACTCGAACTATGAAAAAAAGACCAAAAAACTATGCAAAATCTATGCAAAATCTATGCAATATGTATGCAAAAACTATGAAAAACTATGCAAAAACTATGCAAAATCAATGCAAAAATTATGCTAAAACTGTGCAAAACCTTTGCAAAAACGATCGTGTTGTAACCATCGTGTTTTCATCTTAATATTTAGGATAAAGATACAAAGTTTGATAAAAGCAAAATTTATCATATAATACAGTTCCAACATTTTGAAAGTTATATTTATTTTTTTCTAAAAATGACCCAGTACACGATTAACAACACAAAACAAAAGCCATCTCATATTTTAGTAAACCCTAACTTTTTCTAGTTTCTACGTCTGTGTATTTTTGTATACATTACAATACAATACAATACAATACAATACAATACAATACAATACAATACAATACAATACAATACAATACAATACAATACAATACAATACAATACAATACAATGGTAATTGATAATAGGGTGTCAAAAAAATACTGAATGCAAAAGAATGTTTTAAGAATAATTTGATTTTCATAATATTTCTTAGGACGAAACCTTTGTTTAAACTACTATATTGTATTGAATATCTTTTGTGTATTTATTTTTGGACACCCAATGTGTGTTTGGGTATATTCTTATTTCTTATTACTCCTAGCTTTCATGTGATAATATTCAATGCTAGGAGAACTGTTGTATACCACTATTTATTAGATAAATTAAAAATACTCCTGTGACCCTGTTTAAATCCAGTGACACATCAACCAAATAAACTATAATGACGAAACTGATTATTTGCCTCAAACCATTATTTTCTATTTCCTTATAGCTTTGAAACCTGATTGTGTAAACCTTTTTAAATTCAAACTAATTAGATTATTTCATCTAACAGATTTCAGAGTTTAAAATATCTAAGGCCAACGAAACGTTGGGTTGCAATGATATAGGATTAGAAAATTAAAGTCTGAGGCTGTACAGATTCGGACTTTTTAAATTTTGATTATTTACCAATAAGAACTCATTTGGATAGTCCTCTTGTGGACAAAATATTAGGGGTTTGGGGTGATGATCCCCAATTAAATCTTAATATCCATTCAATAAAATTTTTAGAAAAGTCTCTTTGTCTAAATTTCTGTAATATTTTTCCTTCAGTTTCTTTTTTGATTTAGGAATTTATTCGTGGCACTATGCTGGCTCCTGTAGTCTATATATTCATGTGGCTCATTATATTTGGAGGCGCTGGGCTAAGGTGAATACAACTTTAGTTTTTAACATTAAATCACATCTAATTCACTCATAAGCATTTTCTATAAAATGGGAATTAAGATATGACATGCAGTTGGGACTTTCAGAATTAAAATTAAGTTTTAAAATTGCTAGAACTCAATTAATTCTCTTTTCAGGTTCACATGATTTTTTTTATAATAGTTTTGAACAGACAAATATCTCAGAGACAAAAATGTTATAAAAGATAGTTCGAAGAATTTGATGGAACAAAAATACTTTTAGATATTCTAATAAAATAAACAATAATTAATTCATGTTCCTCTAACAGATTTATAGCTTTTTTATATTTTCAGAATGGAGCGAGAGGCTGCAGGAAGCACCGACATCTGTTGTCACAATATCAACATGACACAGATTCTTCTAATTGCGGAACAATCACCCAACACCACGATCAGCCTCAGGTTGGAAAATACATGATTGTTATTATCATAATTTTAAAATTAATATTATTATTACTAATTTATTATTTCAGTGATGGTTTGTGTATTGGTGATGGGTGTACTCCGTGTTCTGTCCAGCTATTAACTGATAGAATATCACAGGAATATCATCTAACCCTAACTAATATGTATCAGTCACTTTAAATTAGTGGATGAGCGTTCAGAAACTTTAATTTAGGTTTTTAAATGAAGAAGATTGAAGTAATAATATTGTTGCATGCAATCTTCAAAAAAAAAGTGAGACAAGCCAAAGTAAATTTATTCAGATTAATGAACATGAGAAAAAAAATAGTTTTACAAGAAACTTCACTTTCTACTTAATAAAAGAATATGGTACTATGACATTAATTATTAGTGCTTTAGTATTTCTTCCTCTAATGCACACTTGTAAGCGTTTTAATGTATCAAGTTAAAATTAGATGTTGAAAATATAGAATATGGATTTCGGAACCTTGAAGTTACAAATAGATGAAGTAGGGGCTAAACAGTGGGGGGTTACTACACAGGATAGAAAACTTACAAGGTATTATTATTTTTATTGTTATTGCAGCTTTTGTTATTNTTTTTAACAATTAGAAGAGTGCTAGGGCAAAAAAACTAGAGGGTAAAACTTGGTTCGATTTTTTTAGGGAACCCATTGGTATGCAGGGAGTAAAAAAGGCTTAAAAAATCGTTTTTTTATTTTACGAAATTGGCATTTTTTTCAAAGTGTTTTTCAAGTTCCACGGGCAACGTTGGACACTTCAAGCTAGTTAGTTTTATTAATCTTCTAAAACTCTTTATTTTTTTTTGATTTATATTTCAAATCTTGATCTTTTGAAATGTATAATATATTTCATTTGAAAATCAAAGTTCTAGTATTTCAGAAAGAATGAGGCAAGTAGTCATTTCTTTATATTTGAAATTTTTTTAGTGGATTCTCTCTGATGTCTCTCATCCTGTACTTTGTGACTTCTATGGACTCGGGATCGTTAGTTATAGGAAAGTTTCAATATGGAAAAAGTTTCATCTTTCATTTTAAAAATATTCAATATTCAAGATCTTTCTGCACCTACACTTGTTAAATAACATATATCTACATATCTAAAAAAGACATTGGCTTCTGAAACAAGTGCAGTTTCAAAAATTTAATATATTTTTAAAATTGAACTTGCTGGTAGATTGTCTAGCATCTAATGGGCATCCTGACCCACCAGCTATACAGCGGCTAACATGGGCTATACTTGAAGGTAATATGGGCTATACTTGAAGGTAACATGGGCTATACTTGAAGGTAACATGGGCTATACTTGAAGGTAACATGGGCTATACTTGAAGGTAACATGGGCTATACTTGAAGGTAACATGGGCTATACTTGAAGGTAACAGAGTTAACTAAAATATGCACAATTCCAGGAAGAAATCTAACAGGATTGTGCCATTCACTCCTTTTATAACTTTTGTATAAAATAAGACTGTTGTAGTTTAAAAGTAAACCAAAAAGGTTGAAGTTGACCAAGTCTTAAAAATGTATAGATATTGTCATCGTTATCTGGATATCTCTGTAAATGTTTTTTTTTATTTTTCAAAAAACTAGTTTTGTTTCTGTAATTTATTGGATTAGAACAGCTCAACCTCTGCAATTGATATTTTTTTCTAACAAGGTTTTTTTATTTAACTAAATTTTTTAATATACTTTTTTAGGACTAACAGCTACAGCTCTGCTCGTGGCTGGGGGAACAAAGGTTCTAAACGCACTTCAGGTAATTTAATTATTTTTAACTTTGATTAAAACTTCAAAAAATAGAATGCAAATTAAAAAAAAGCAATTTTCTGTATAAAATATATTAATTTATAGTTTGAAACATTTGCACGATAATGTGTGTACTTGATAACTAAAAATCTTTTTTTTATTTTGCAACCATGCACTGTATTCTAATATACTGTATAGGCTGTTGCTATTGCTTCTGGTGTGATCTATATTGTTCTGATATCCTTGGGATGTCTGGCACTATGGCGGGGTCTAGAGGTGTCCGCAGGTAAAATACCAGAATTACTGAAAATCATCTAAAAAAACTCAGTTTTCAAGAAATAAATTTTGGAATGAAACAGACGACAAAAAGCGATAACACCCCCCCCCCCCCATGAAATAAGGATAACTATTTCAAATATTCATTAAAAGCTTGAAAGTTGATTTTCATTATTTTTTCATATGTGCTTGAGGGAGACTTTGAGACTTTTACAAATTTTTAGAATAATGTTTGTTCAAGTGATCTTCTATTTAAAGACGATGGTCATGTCCGATTTACAACGGTACCCTTTAAACATATTATCTTGAGAAAAATGTTTAGTTCTGACAATTTACACCATTGTTTCTGTGGTAAACAATCCTCAAGTCACTTTTCAGAGAAATCATAGTTGAACAAAATCATTATTGCATGGATATCTATTTGCATATTTGACCAAATATAGCTTTAAAGGTTAATGTTGTACCAGACATGCTATTTTATAAATGAAATATATTGCTTGAACGTGTGTCTACACTCAACAGTGGAATTTACAAACATTTTGCCTTTACTTTGCACTAATTCGCATTATGTCAATAAAACTTTAAGTAAGTTTAATTTAAACTCAAATTTGAATTATAAATATATGTTCTGCATCACACAAACATAACATTCGTGATAATATGGGCATTGTGCATTGTGCATTGTGCAATGTGCAAGGTTCATAATTAAACTTTCAAACTTCGGCTCTTTTGATAATATTTAAAAAAATTAACAACCATTCGAAAACTTCATAAATACTGTAAACACAGGTAAACTTGGCTTCCAACATTTGCGAGGACTCGACGCACTACCACGCAATTCCAAGCAGTTCCACGCAATTCTGCGCAATTTCAAGCAGTTCCACGCAATTCTGCGCAATTTCAAGCAGTTCCACGCAATTCTGCGCAATTTCAAGCAGTTCCACGCAATTCTGCGCTATTTCAAGCAGTTCCAAGCAATTCTGCGCAATTCCAAGCAGTTCCACGCAATTCTGCGCAATTTTAAGCAGTTCCACGCAATTCTGCGCAACTCTGCGCAATGGAATTCTAATGGGATCACGTTCAACATTAACTTATTTATAATATCTAGAAGTGAACACATGGTTCAAACTCCTATTTCTAATTCACATCACGTCAAACTGAAGTAAATTTCGGGTCATTTTTTACTGAAAGAAAATAAATAGTTTGAATTTCTAAAATATATCTGGACAGTTTTTTTTCTGTCTTTGCGTAAAAGAACTAGGGAAGCTTTGAGGGCACAGTGTTGGACCAGTAAATTTGACCTTCTCTTTCTGTTCAGCGCTTTATATAGAACTAATTCAAACTTGGAAATCTGTTAGACCTAAATGTCCAATTTTAGATTTGGACCATCAGGTTGCAAAGATAAGAAGGATGAGAAGTTTTCAGTTTTTTTTTGCTAAATTTAGGTGATGTACCAGACGATGGTGGACAGAGCTTTAACATTGATATCCTTGATACTCTACTAGCAGACCCTATAGCGGTAAGGAAATTATATTTTTTACAATGTAAGATATCCTTAATTTGTAGTATGGGTTGTTAGATTCACAACGGTACCCTTTAAACATCGATTAAAATAATAACGAGGTAAAAACCAAAATTTAAAAAAATTCGTTTTAATCTAGACAAATAGAGCTATCTCATTCATCCTTCATCAGTCAAATATTGTTTGTTTCATACCGTTGTAAATCAGATACGCCACTTTATAAATTGAGGGTTATTTTAACTTTTGCTTAAAATCTCTTTAAAGTTCATATACATATTGTTGGTATATTTTGCTCAAACTTCTATATTCAATTCTTTAAACTTTCTGCATTAACTCTTTAAAAATATTGTTTTTAACATTTATTTGATGAATCCTTTGGTTTTTCATGTTACTTAATCTGGACTTTTTGTATTCCCTGAATCTTCAATAATTCTTTCCACAGAATTACTCAAGAAAATAGTAGACGAAAATATATTTACATTTAATTTATATTTATCCAAGTTTTCAATCTTATTGCATTTACAAGATTTTATTATTTGTATGGTTTCGTATTTAATATCAATCTTTACTCTCAATTAAAGTAAAAATCAAAACATGTAGTTTTACGAAGAAAATGTTTAACAGGGCTAGAAATTGATTAATTTTGTAAAAGGAACTGAATTGGAGTTGGGTTTAGTTGTTTAAAACATGACAGTTTTTTTTGGTTTTAATCGTGTTTTACTTAACTATTTTTTTTCTAATTTTTTTTATTTTTTATATTTTTTTATTTTAAGGAAATGGTTTCCTTATCGTTTCACAAGAGAACTAAGAGAAGATTAATTCTGTTGTCAAAATTCTTTCTGAATATCTTCGCTGCCCCTTACAGGTAACATCTTCATTATACTGCCACAAGGTACATAATGTTTATACCATTCATCATACTGCCACAAGGTACATAATGTTTATACCATTCATCATACTGCCACAAGGTACATAATGTTTACACCATTCATCATACTGCCACAAGGTACAATGTCTATACCATTCATCATACTGCCACAACTTCACAAGGTACATAATGTTTATACCATTCATCATACTGCCACAAGGTACATAATGTTTATACCATTCATCATACTAACACAAGGTACATAATGTTTATACCATTCATTATACTGCCACAAGGTACATAATGTTTATACCATTCATTATACTGCCACACATAATGTTTATACCATTCATCATACTGCCACAAGGTTCATAATGTTTATACCATTCATCATATTGCCAAAGGGTACTTAAGTTATAATATTATTTATTGATATATATTTATTTATACATAGATTCAGACCCCCCAACCTTTGTAGGGTTAAATCCTATTACGGAGTTGTATCACTCCTATACTCCTATTTGAGTTTGACATCAAATGAATAGGGTTGTCAGAAATAATTGATTTATCATTTGTGAGAAAATTATTGATCCTTATTTTAGTGTACAGTCTAAACTGCACAGAAGTACAGTTTACACTGCACAGTCGTACAGTGCACACTACACAGTATTAAAGTGTACACTGCACAGTAGAACAGTTTAAACTGCACAGAAGTGCAGTTTACACTGCACAGTAGTACAGTGTACGCTACGCAGTATTATAGTTCACCCTGCACAGTAAAACAGTTTACACTGTACAATAGTACAGTAGTACAGTTTACAGTTGTATAGTGTACACTGCACAGTATTACAGTGTACAATACACAGTATTACAGTATACACTACACATTAGATCCGTTTACACTGTACAAAAGTACAGTAGTACAGTTTACAGTTGTATAGTGTACACTGCACCGTATTATAGTGTACAATGCACAGTTGTAAAGCATACATTGCACAGTATTATAGTGTACACTACACATTAGAACAGATAACGCTGTACAGTAACACAGTGTACACTTCACAGTATTATAGTGTTCAATGCATGGTTTTATAGTGTTCAATGCATGGTTTTATAGTGTACAATGCACAGTAGTACAGTATACACTGCACAGTATTATAGTGTACACTTCACAGTATTATAGTGTACAATACACAGAAGTACAGTATACACTGCACAGTATTATAGTGTACACTTCACAGTAATACGGTGTACACTTCACAGTATTATAGTTTACAATGCACAGTATTATAGTGTACAGTGCACAGTATTATGTTGTACAATACACAGTAGTACAGTATACACTGCATAGTATTATAGCGTACACTGCACAGTAGAAGAGTTAACACCGTACAGTAATACAGTGTACACTTCACAGTAGTATAGTATGCAATGCACAGTATTATAGTGTACACTGCACATTAGAACATTTATTACCGTACACTAATACAGTGTACACTTCACAGTTGTATAGTGTACAATGCACAGTAGTACAGTGTACAATGCACAGTAGTACGGTATACACTTCACAGTATTATAGTGTACACTACACATTAGAACAGTTTACACTGTACAGTTGTATAGTATACACTGCACAGTGTTATAGTGTACGCTGCAATGTTGTATAGTGTACACTGCACAGTATTATATCATACAATGCACAGTAGTAAAGCGAACCAATTCAGTTTGAAAACATTAATACATCTTTTGAAATACATGATTACCCACAAAAAATGAGACTTAATTCGAGGGTATCCAACGTAATCGATTATACACTTACGCAAAATTACATCATAATTTCGCTAAATTACGTTGTAATAATTACTTAATTCAGAGACATCTGTATGGAATTTGTACTGTTCGGTTCCATATGTTAATCATGCCATGCAACTGTAAAAATGTTTTCTTTCTTTACAAAATCATATTAATTATGCCATTTAAGGACTGTATTCAATTGACAAAAGTTCAATTCAAATTTTTCTAAATTAAAGGGACAGTAAAGGAAAAATGAAAGGGGGTATAGGCTGAAAGCGAATCACTTTAGCTCTTGATCGCGACCCATGAAAGTTATATCTGATGCGCCTATCTCGAGAAATTGATATAAAACTGTGTCAAATATATACGAAAATTAATATATATACAATTTTGTATAAAAGTAGTGGTTTTAAACAGATCATATTCAGCAAATAAGCAACCAATCTGAAAACGATGATATCCCAGAGAAAGCTAATTGTAAATTAGGTTTACTTTTATATTTGTTATTTCTATTTTCAATAGATTTAATTCATAATATTATTTTTACGTCCGTATTACTTGACCAGAAATTCCACCAATGGCAGTGCAGTAAAGTGGTCACGTGATACAGGCGGACACACGTGACCAGTATACTGCTCTGCCATTGGGGATAGTTCTAGTCACGTGATTTAAGTTTCAGATTTTCTAAATTTTACATATTTGAATTTTCGTATAATTTTAACACAGTTTTATATCAATTTCTCGAGACAGGAAAATCAGATAAAACTTTCATGGGTCACGATCAAGAGATAAAGTGATTAGCTTTCAGCCTATACCCCCTTTCATTTTTCCTTTACTGTCCCTTTAAATAAATCTTTTACGAATTATCTGGATTAAATTAATGAATTATATGTGAACTCTTGGATAGCAAACCTTGCAAAGTTTTTGCATTGAATTTAAAGATTACCATAAAGTATTTTCAATTTATTTAATAAATAGTGGCAAACAACAGCTCTTTTAGCATTGAATATCATCAGATAAATTGGTGTGAATAAATCACTTTAAATTTTTGAATATTGCAGTTAAAATAATTATTTATTATAATCAAATATTTATACCTCTGAACAGAACTCTTCAGTATGCAGTGATGTATTGTTTAAAAGAATGAAAAAAAATGGATTTTGATGTCAAATTTTAAATTGTTTTGCCCAAAATCATTAAAAATTATGTTTTCCCTCTGAGTATCATTTTTATTTATATTTTCAGTGTTGCCAAGTCAAGTGCCCTGGTATCCGGATCAGAAAGTTATCTAACTAAGCTTATTAGTTTATACACCTTCCTTCTACTCTTTATAATACTTCACGCTCTACAGCCAGGTATTCTAGGCCAATATTAAAAACTTTTCTTCTAGCAATTAATTAAGCTTTTATCTGCTTTCCTAACGGCAACCTTTTTGTTTTTAATTTTAAAATCATGTCAAGTTTCACAGATTTTTCTGCTTTTTTGGTAGCTTTGAAAAATTTGTGACAAATCAAAATTTGTTGTCGACAATGTATAAGACTTCACATTTAAATTGTATTTTTTGTTTTGCTAATTTTCCTAATTGCCAAAATTGTTTTAATTGAAGGCAAAAACCTATTTGTTACTCTGCTATGATATATGAATGAGCTGAAGATATATGAAAGAGCAAAATTACGGAACGATACTTGTTTTTCTAACTTAAAATTTAATAATTTCATACCTGGTTTCGCTACATTAGTTATTTGCGGATTTATGCTACAGAAATATATGAGAGAATTACTAATATTTTTGTTGGAATCAAGTATTACACACAGTAAACTCTGCCGGTTTATTTGAACTACCGTACCGACTTATAGGCAGCTAGGCCGGGCAAATTGTACGATTCACTTAATGAATATGAAGGCAGAAAAGGGACAGTGTGCAAAATAAATCATTACCTTCTGGTAGATTATTGTCATCATTTCTCTTTACGAAACCTATCATATTTTTAGTTGTGGATGGATTCTGGGCAATGGCGTGGGTTTCCTATATCATTCATAGTTTTATCATCGCTACAGTCAGACAATCGGTTCGTGAACATCTTAGTATTCCAGGTATACAGATACAGTGGGGAACATAAATCTATGGTTTAGTCTTATTACTTTCTTGTTATTTTGAAATTTCGGTTAGGGTTTTGTATTGTGTAGCCCTTTACAATAATCTTTCTGTCTTTTCAGAATTTATTGAACAAAATAAGCAATATCTTATCTTTTATAGGATTTTCTTAATGCCTATGTTACAGTTAAACTCAGAACATCGAAAGAACTTCTTTGTCTTGGCAATTTTTTTTCGGGTTTTTAACTGTTTTTACCTAAATATCAATAATTGTATAAATTAATAAATAGCCATTAAATTTTCGACTACATATTTGAAGAGACCAATTGAATTAATAAATTAAAAAAACTAGATATCTGCAGCATTCCCTTTTCAACAATTCACTTTCAAGTTTAGAAAACGATATTTTATAAACTTGGTTGATGTCTCCCAAGTACTGGGTTAAATTATATTTATTTAAAAACAGATAAAGCCTGTCCTTTTCAAGAAAAAAATAACGGTTCTTTATAAAATAAGAATATTTGTAAAATTTTAACATAAAATTTCTTTGTTTCCAGCTTCAACACTCCTTGGTGTTATAAAGAAAAAATTTCTGTCCAAAAAACTTTGTAACACTGCGACCCAAAAAAATAGTGTTTTAAATAGTTATTTTATTTTTAATTATTATAGGTGTTAAAATAAATAAATCATTTTTTTTCAAATATTAAAAGAAATTTGTAAGAAAAAGGACATTTTATGTGTAGATATATTTTTTAAATTTTGTTTTCCTCCTATCATGATTATCTTTTTGCAGAGTCTTTTTTAAAACAGATACAACATGAGATTTAAAAAACTTTTTCTTTAAAACAAATAAATAAGTTTTACTATTTCTTTTCTGTAGGAGGGCTGATCGAGGACTTTTTGATTTCCTTGATCTTGTATCCAGCAGTAGCAGTTCAAATGGAACATTCTCTTGGCAAGTTTAGTGCTAAGAGCAGTACTGAAGGGTCAAGGTATAGTTACAGTTAATGATAAACCATACACAGTCTGGGGGATCTATCTATGTATTTCCTGGAGGGGTTGCAAGGCATGTTAAGAGCCCAATTGTGCAAGACAAACTCATTGAAAAAAAAAATTGTAAAAAAAGATCGAACAAATTTAAAAAATGGTTTAATTTGTTTTAGACAAATATTAAGATGTGATTTATTTTACAAAGGCGTTTATAAAACGAAGTATTTTTACACCTGTAGATAATGAAACAAAAAGGTTATGGTCGATTTCTTAAATGTTTTTTTTTCTTAAAAATCTTATCCTTCGTAGCCATAAATATTTTCCTTTCTTTTTTAAAAACTCAATGGCGTTATTTCTCATATTTGAAATTCTAAAAAAACTAAAAATTAAAATTAAAAATAATTTCTTGATATTTTCAGGAACAATATTCCCAACGGTGAAATTAACCCCAACGCATGTGCCAGTGAATTGGATCTGAACGGAATGGTGACGAACAAGGACGATTGTTTGAAAAGAATAGAACGCGGCAATGGAAAACAAAACAAAGACTCTGCCACAAACCTAAATACAGTTGCATTTTTTACAGAGGAATAAGAATTCTCAGTATATATTTATTGTTGTACCTAATCTTACTATGTTTTAATAGTAATAATAAATATTTAGAATAGTATTATTGAAAGTAACATTTTTTTCCATGGGCGGGGGGAATCTATGTTTTGGTAGATTTTTAAAAAATTAGCTGTTTGTCTAAAGAAATGACAAAATTGTTGTCTGGATGTTACAACTAAAACACAATTTATATTGCATGATATTTTTACCAGAACTCGAAGGGACTATAGACGTAATTTCAAGTTATCTTTTAACCCTCATTATGGAGTAGAATTTAGTAAAAAGACTATTTATTTGGTTTTTATGAAGTATTTAAGATTTCATAAAAAGAAATAAATGTCTCAATTATTCCATTTTTTTATTTTAATGGTTGTCTATCTGGTTTTTTTTGGGAGGGGTATCATTCTGTCTATGTAAAAAGGCACATAGGCCTTCGCCCAATTATATACAGGAGTACCTACAAAGGACGAGGCTTCAGAGACGATTGTTTCCCTGTATTTATGATTTTTCAAGTTTCTAGTCTTAAGTCGTCTTTACAGTCTTATCCTTTGTAGGTAACAAGAACCCATGAATGGGGTTAACTTTTTTGAAAATCGCCGGGCACTAATCATAAAATTATAGCGCATAATAAATGATAATATTTGCCTGGGAAACGTACTCCAGAGCTAAATACGTTAATGGGCGGCAAGTTTTTTTTATTTTAACGCAAGAGTCTGTTAGAAAAAGGCAAATTTTGAAATCGTCAACGACCAGTAATTGTTGGTTTTTAAAAAAGAAGGAAGTATTTTAAAAGTACGGAAATTCTTAGCTAAAGAACGAACGAAAGGTAGTTTAATTAAAAGAGTGTAACTACCTTTAAATGGCTTGTAAAAAGTCCGAATCAAATGTTCAAACATAAAATGCGTATTTAGATTTTTTTTAAATCCTACAAACTTTATGTTCGTCAAATTTTAGCCCATTTTTATCAAATACAAAGGGTAGAGGCAACAGTTCTACAGTAAGGCCCATTAAACTGTGGAACAGGAAAATGACTAACATAGTCAATTTATGACTTTAAATAAGTTAAAGAACATGAAATATATTTTGTAGTTGACACAGAACTATTTCACTAGATGAATTGGTTTGTAAAGTGAAAGGCGTAGAGTCTATGTGAAATGATCATTGGTCAATTATGAAACCAGCCTATTTCGTAATTTGGTTTTCTTTTAATATTAATTTTAGATTTTCTATAAAATTATATTCCTGGGCCCAAAAGTTTATATAGCATAAATATGTAAAGTACACCTGCAGCATGGAAACAGTACAACAAAATGGCCGTTTTACACTTTTTTCTAGTAAATTCCCCTCTAATATATATTCTGTTCTCTTTGCCCATAACGGATGAGACTTCAGAAAAGATCATAAATTTCTTTAACTTTACACTTCTTTCTTTCTTTGCCAAATTGTTAAATAAGCCATTTAAAGACCACATTCAAGGCAGAAGACCTAGTTTACACTTAGGAACTTCATATTTAACCCTATTCCTGGTGGGGGGGGGGTACCCCCCCCCAGCATATCCTGGTTTTCAAGTACCCCAGCAGGGATAGGGTTAAATAGTTTCAAGGCGTCTTTCAAGTCAAATCCGCTGTGGGAAACCCTGTACAATTTGATACTGTACGATCCGGAAGTATTTTTTGGCATTGTTGTCTTTAAAAGTTGGCTTTCAACGTTTTTTTATTTTGTTTTGCTGAAGGTTTTTTATTAAGAGTCTACATTTTTGTCTTTTCAGAGTTTTCTTTTTTAAGAGTCTATTTGTCTTTTAGGAGTTTTTCTGTCAGGGTTTATCTTTCAGAAGCTTGTCTTTAAGGGCTTTGTCTTCCAGAAGTTTGTCTTCCAGGAGTCTGTCTTTAAGGGCTTTGTCTTCCAGAAGTTTGTCTTCCAGGAGTTTGTCTTCTAGGAGTTTTTCTTTCAGGAGATTGTCTTGTCTTGCAGGATATTGTATTGCAGGATTTTGTATTTCAGGATATTGTATTGCAGGATATTGTATTTCAGGATATTGTATTGCAGGATTTTGTATTTCATGATATTGTATTGCAGGATATTGTATTGCAGGATATTGTATTGCAGGATATTGTATTGCAGGATATTGTATTGCAGGATATTGTATTACAGGATATTGTATTGCAGGATATCGTATTGCAGGATTTTGTATTTCAGGATATTGTATTGCAGGATATTGTATTTCAGGATTTTGTATTGCAGGATATTGTATTGCAGGATATTGTATTGCAGGATATTGTATTTCAGGATATTGTATTGCAGGATATTGTATTGCAGGATATTGTATTGCAGGATATTGTATTGAGGATATTGTATTGCAGGATTTTGTATTTCAGGAGTTTTTCTTTCAGAAGTTTGTATTTCTTGAGTGTGTCCTTCAAACGGTTTGACCTTCTCGAGTTCCTCACTCAATTCTCGAATCGTTTATTTTTCCAGATGCTCTTAAATAATCTGTAGGACTGGGTAAAGTACTGTTGATGAACGCACAAAACATTTGCAGTGAATGTATGGCTTATAACTGCTAGTAAACAAATATAATTGGTTTAAGATAATTTATCCGTTAATTTATCCGTTAATTTATCCGTTTATTTATCCATAATTTATCTGTAAATTTAGTCGTTTATTAATCCATTAATTTCTTCGTTAATTTATCCGTTAATTTATCTGTTAATTTATCCGTTAATTAATCCATTAATTTATCCGTTAATTTATCCATTAATTTATCCGTTAATTTATCCGTTAATTTATCTATTTGTTAACGAACAAGTTTGAGTGGGTGGCTCTACTTGCTTTGGATAAATGGATTATTTACATCCTATGAAAACTGAACTAAAAATATGGGATATTAGGTCATTCATAGAAAAAGATTTACGTTGATTTAACAATTTTTAAATCTTTAAATCTCTGTTATTCAGAAAACTTTTGGATCTACAACATTGATGGGTTTTAAAATCTCCTCTTGTTCATCCAATTATCCAATAAATATGTTAACAAGTTGAATGAAAATGATGGATTCTCCTGATTCAGTAAATAAGAAGCATCACAGATTGTAAAATATAGATAAATGTTCCAATACATCACAACTGTCGTGAACCAATTAGGGTTCTTAACAAGAATAAATGTCAACTGATTGTATTCACAAAAGAACACATTATTCAAATCAAATCCAACTTTTTCTAAATCGTAGATGTAAACTGTATACAAATATAAATATTCCAAATCTTTAAAAATGAAAATCCCTCCAGAGCTAATTCAATATTCTATTATTTTAAAATAACTTCTGAAAATCAAAGTGATTCTAATTTAAACCTCCTTGTGGGATATTTTATCTCTCCTTACTCCTTACTCCTTACCGGACTGTAAGCATATCAAGTGACCCTCCATACAAAGATGGCAATTGCCTGATTTACAATGGTTCCCTTTAAAGCGTTGTCAATGATCAAGTATGCATTAGATTTCAATACTTTTGTTCAAGGCCTGCTCATTAAAAAATTAGATGTCTAACTTTAATGGTTTGGGGGTTTTTTAAAAAAAAGTTTCACGTACGTCAAAATGGAATAATAATCAAAATTAATCATTTTTATTTTTCACAAATATTAACATGTGACACATGCTATTACATACATTTTTCAAGGGCTTTTAAATAAAGAGTTTAAGCCCCGTAGCTTAATGAAAAAGTTATCAAGCATTTCGGATTTGTTTGAAACACCGACCCGTCGTTTGACTGTCCTCCCCCTACAGTGTACTGTAATGATGTTGTGATTTTGTTGATCTTTTACGATCAGTGGTTCAAGGGATCTTAAGATCGCTGCGATCATAGTTATCTAGGGGAATCATGCCCCCCCCCCCCCTCCTTCTACACCTTGTACAGACATTATAATTATAACGGTTTTAGTTGTGTTTACGTGATAATTCGAACAAGCCAAACAGATTCTAAATATAACCCAAGCCACGCCAGTAAACCGTTATTTTGGAAGGCGGGGTGCAGGAGAGTCGGCCCGATAAGCCCGGGGAACTAGGGTTAAGATCCAGGCTAGGGTGCGGCGGAGGTTGGCGGAGAGGGGGTAGTTGTGAATCAACCCTTTCGATGAGAGGTGGAAGAATATCCTGAGCATCCATCTTCCACTGACTATTATTCATTTTCATCGATCTTATAGTATTTTTAGTTTATCAGTGTTTGTATAAAAATAATAATAATAAATTGTAAAACCGTCTAGCAGAATATTTGATAATTCGAGTTGTTGCCTTGAATTTTTAGCATATACAAGAGTACTTAGCAAATGTTTAGCAAAATATGTTTACAACTTTAAACTATATGATGTTGAAAAAGTAAAAAAAAATTAAGCATTCTAATGTAAGCCTTTTAAAGTTATTTAGAAAAAAAAACCACAGAGGGAGGTGACGCCCCCCCCCCTTATATAGTTAAAAAGAATACCCAGAATTAAACTAGATTTGAAGGAGAGTTTGACTTTTTTACATGAGTAAGTTTGCATTCTTTTCTAACAAAAGTTCCCTCTCAATTTTTTGGCAGATTCAAAAAGTAGAAATAAATTTGCTGAAAAATAAATACATAAGCAGATAAGAAAGATGTTCCACTTTGTCGTCTTCATTTAGGAAAAAATTTTAACAGAGGCCATTCCTTCTATCACGACATTGGTCTACCACAGGACGTCTCTTAATTTTGGTCGTATGAATTATCTATCTATCAGATTAGAATTTAGCGTAGACATCTGGCGGCTAAACTATCATCCTCCAAAGTACGACATGTCGTCGACCAATGTGCATACATTTTTAAAGAGAGAACGGGCTCTGCATGGGCCGGTTCACTGAGTTTACTGTACAAATATCAATAAACAATTGAACAACTTTAAATTGTCTCGTAGGAAAAAGAACACGATTATATAAGTGGATCAAATACGATCCCTTTTATACAGCTATTCACATTTATAACAGACAAATTGTACGGATTAAAAGAATAGAATTAATGGGGAAAAAATAACACTTTTTCGTGCAGTGCCAGTCCATTCTGAAGTCTCATTCTTTGTGGGTCACTGTCTGTACTTCATGTTGGTAACCGCCAAAAAATTTCTTGGAATACAAATTTCCGGAAAAAAGTCCTGATATTTCGCACTAAAAAGGTCCTATGGAAAAAAGTCCTGTGGAAAAAAGTCCTTTTATTAAAAAGTCTTCGGAAATAAAGTCTTATCTAGATTCGAGACTTTGCTTTCGAGGACTTTTTTCTGACTCCATGCCAGTATGATTTTATACAAAAACGTCCCTGGGAAAAAAGTCCTATGATATTAGAAAACGAATGGGAACAAAGGATGTTTACAACAATACAAAAAAAGGACAATTGATATTAAAAACACCTGGATGGCCATATTCAAAGCACAGATGCGTAAAAAAGTCTTTTTTATAAAAATTTGTTAGACTTGACCTCATTTTCACAAGATTTAGGATTTTTTGGGGGTTTTTTTTTCTTCGGATATATTATCATCAGAACTTTATTTCCTGTGATGTTATTTCCTGAGACTTTATTGACAATGACAGCCCCCATAATATTTTAGGAAAAAAGTCCCGGGAATCCAAAACACAGGATTTTATTTCCAGTGACATTTTTTCCTAGGACTTGAGAAAATTCGGATTTTTTTTCCCACAGCTTTTATTTACAGGTTTTTTCCAGAAACTTTTTTTACGCGACTTTCTTACACAGATTCATCATGTTTATACATTTGAGAAGATCTGTAGTGAAGCCACAAGCCAGGCCTAAATTGTCCCAATTTATTTTGACCAATTGCGATTGAATTTACAATGTTTCAATTGTAATCGTTATTCAGAAGCTGTGGTATTTTCAAATACAGGATGTCCCAATAAGGAATTCAGAGACGATTTTGAGATCGTCTTTGTAAATGATCTTTTGATTTAGTCATGGTGATGCATAATAGGAAAACAACGCAAAAAAATAATCATACTTGATAATCTATTTGTTACAATATTTTGCAGAATAACATAATAAATTTTAAAAATTCGGTGATGGTGATGGGTCAAACAATTGTAGAGTAAATAAAATAGATGTTAGTTCCACATTTTATATAAAATATATTTCGGTCTTGGTTGATTCATGATATTTCTTGAGATTTTTTCTGTCTATAGATTGAAAACAAACTTTTACCGTTTACATAAAATATACTCTAGCAGACATAACTTTAATTTGATCAAATGAGTATATAGCACAATGCTAATTCTTTAAAAAGAAAATTTCGAATTCGTCTCTTAATTCCCATGTTTATTGGGACACCCTGAAGACGAACAATTCCTGTTAACAGAAATAACGATAACAACTTTTTTCGAAAAGACGGTCATTACTTGTCTTTTATTTTATGATTTATTTTTTAAGAAGATAGCAAGGCCTAGTCGTGGCACTCTACTTAGATTGGTAAATTATACAGCAGGATTAGAAATAAAGGGAAATCTTCTAAAATTAGGAGGAAATTGAAATATTAGGAGGGAATTGGTAAATTAGGAGGAAATTGATAAATTAGGAGGAAATTGAAATATTAGAAGGGTATTGGTAAATTAGGAGGGAATTGGTAAATTAGGAGGAAAGTGGAAAATTAGAAGGGAATTGGTAAATTAGGAGGAAATTGGTAAATTAGGAGGAAATTGGAAAATTAGGAGGAAATTGGTAAATTAGCAGGAAATTGGAAAATTAGGAGGGAATTGGTAAATTAGGAGGGAATTGGTAAATTAGGAGGAAAGTGGAAAATTAGAAGGGAATTGGCAAATTAGGAGGAAAGCGGAAAATTAGGAGGAAAGTGGAAAATTAGGAGGAAAGTGGAAAATTAGGAGGGAATTGGTAAATTGGGAGGAAATTGGAAAATTAGGAGGAAATTGGAAAATTAGGAGGAAAGCGGAAAATTAGGAGGAAAGTGGAAAATTAGGAGGAAAGTGGAAAATTAGGAAGAAATTGGAAAATTAGGAGGGAATTGGTAAATTAGGAGGATATTGGATAACAAGTAGGAAATTGGTGAATTAAGAGGGGTGCGGATGTAAATTAGAAAGTCTAGAGACAATAGAAGAGAATACAGATTAATTAGAGAAATTTGGATGTAAGAGGGGAATTCAGGTGATAAAAAGAAAATCTGGATCATAGTATTGGTAAATTAGGGGAAGAATGATAATTAGGAAATAAGGGAAGAACAAAGAAATTAAGGTGTAATCAGGAAATGTAGGGAGAAATAGGAAACAAGGGAGAGTATAAGAGAGTTATCGGAAAATAAGAGCCAAACGTCAGAAAAATCGCTAGTTAGAAATAAAAATAAAACTTTGCAGAGAATTTTGTTCGCTTCATGGAACTGTGAAGCTTAAATTCAAGTGACCCTACATTGTCAGGGTGGCATGTCCGATTTACATTGGTACATTGTGAATCAGATAATAATGTTCTTTTGTTTTTGAAAACTTATTATTTGAATTTGTGGTTTATCTACAAAAATGTCTTGCGCATGCATTTTTTGCTTCACAAACAATGCGAAAAGTAACAGAATTAAACACTATTTCCAGCTTGAAAAAGGATGTTATCCTCCGCAATTATACCGATCAGTATAGTTTCAAGGGTACCATTGTTAATCGGACTTGCATCTCTTTAAATGGAGAGTCATATGCAAACTGCAGTTCCTTGATAAGAACTGGACACTTGCCACACACTCTGATTTACTAATCCCTATCTTTCCAAGCTGATGGTGTATGCCAGTCTAGTTGATATTTAAAACTTAGATAATTATGCTGGGCTTTCCCTATAGATGTAATGTAATGATGTTATGATTTTGGTTGATCTTTTACAATCAGCGATTCAAAGGACCTCAAGATCGCTGAAATCATAGTTTTCTAGGGGTATCATGCCCCCACCCCCCTCCACCCCGTATGCAAACTTCAGAATTATAACGGTTCTAGTTGTGTTTATATGATAATTCTATAAATAACCCAAGCGACGCCTAATTTTCCGTTATCTTGGAGGCCCGGGCGTTGGAGAGGTGGCCGAACAACCCCGGGGTGGCTAGGGTTATGATCTAGGCTAGGGAGGAGGGAAGCTGGGGGAATAAAATCAGTTGAAGACCAGCTCCCTGGATAATAGGTTCCCCTGGAGATCCTCTTCACTCTGGATAATCTTTATTCATGCATATTGATTCGTATAGTATTTTCTTATTTCTATTCGTGTTTGTGTAAATAATAATAATAAATTGTAAAACCGTCTCGCTGAATATTTGATAATATGAGTTGTTGCCTTGAATTTTTCATACAGGGTGTCCCAAAAAACATGGGAATTCAGTGACGAATTCGATATCGTCTTTGTTATGAATTAGCATTGTAATACCTAATTTCAAAAGCCTTAATATTATTATGTCTGCTAGAGTTTATTTAATGAAAAGGGTAAAAGACTGCAAAGATGTGTCTATAATGTCTCCGCAAGATGAACAGTGAATACGGACAAGTTTACTCTGTTTGTATACTGTAATTTTCTTGTTTTACTAAGTACAGCCGGTTGCAGTCAAAACATAAACAAACAAAATGTAAACATAGCAGACGAAACTCTTACAGATTACAGCTTTCTCAGTAGGTATCACTATACTAAATCAAAGAATTATTCATAAAGACGATATCGAATTCGTCACTGAATTCCCATGTTTTTTGGGACACCCTGTATATTAGAGTAAATAGCCCCAAATTCAAAATTGTGGCGATATGTCAATTTTCCGTGCGTCTGTGCGAAAATTCGGCGGGCTTCACGTCAAATCCCCCCTCCCCCCCCCGCCCCCAGGAACCGACCTGGCCCTTCTAGCCTCAAAAAATTATAGAATTTATAGGAAAATATGTATTTGTAAAACTCAATAAAAAATCTCACTATTTTGTATTTTAGTTTTCCAATGGTAAACATCTTTCAGAAGTATAATCAAATTTTCGGAAAACTTCGCAAATAAATATATTATTGAGTTTATAAACAGATAAATAAGAAATGGAAATAAAACATATATCATTGAATTTAATATCAGGGAAAAAGCAATAAAATAAATTGATTCTTCTTGAATAATAAGAATAATAAAGAATTGCTGGAAAATCATATTTCTATGATTTTTTTTTTATCCAGAAATAAAGTACAGGGTTACCCACAAAGGGCGAGACTGCAAAGACGACGTAAAACTCTTTAAATTTCGAAGTTGTCTTGAATTTAATTTTCTAATTGTTTATTTAATGATTAGGCAAAGGTTGGTGGTAAAAAAACGTTTTCTACATTTTTTCGCCCCGTGCTTACAAAATTTGTACCAAAATGTGTAAATATATTCCACAGATTTTTAAGATAGCACAAATGGGATAATTTTTTTCAGGTCTTAAAAAAATTAAACTTTTTTCGTTGTAATGAATTCACTCTACTGAAATCTATAGGTCCTTATTTAAAAGTTGGTTAATGACTAATTAATTCACTCTACTGAAATCTATAGTTCCTTATTTAAAAGTTGGTTAATGACTAATGAATTCACTCTACTGAAATCTAAAGGTCCTAATTTAAAAGTCCCGACACTGCTGACTGTGCCCACAGTGATGACTGTGCTGACTGTGCCAACTGTGCCGACTGTGCCGGCTGTGCGGAATGTGCAGACTGTGCAGACTGTGCAGACTGTGTCGACTGTGCTGACTTTGCCTACTGTGGAGAATGTGTTGACTGTTGTGACTGTGTCGACTGTGGTGACTTTGCCGACTGTGGTAACTGTGCTGAATGTGACGACTGTGCCGACAGGGCTGAATGTGCCGACTCTGCTGACTGTGCCAACTGTAACGACTGTGCTGACTGTGCCGACTGTGGCAAGTGTGTCGACTGTGGCAAGTGTGTCGACTGTGGCAAGTGTGCCGACTGTGGCAAGTGTGCCGACTGTGCCGACTGAGCCAAAGGTGCTGACTTCGCTGACTGTGCTAACTGTGCCCATGATGCTGATTGTGCTAACTGCGCCCATGGTGCTGACTGTGCTGACGATGCTGACTGTGCCGAATGTGCTGACTGTGCTGACGGTGCTGACTGTGCTGACTGTTCTGACTGTGCCGACTGTGCCCAATTTATCAAATGCATAAAAACAATAAATGTTAAAAGAAAAATTAAAAATAAACCAATATTATTTATTATTAATATTTCTAGATCTTTTTATGGAATATTTGATAACTCTGATATGAAGATCGGTGAAGAAAGTAAATCTGAAAAAAATCAAATAAATTTTACTTTTAACATAAATTAAATGAAATCGATCTTTTATTAGGGTTAATATATCCAAAAAGCAAGATTTCTTAAATGGTCGGTTTACAGAAAAATCTTTTCGTTTTTTATTTTTCAAAAACTAAATCCGATTTTTTTTAAATTTGAAAACGTTTTTTTTTTTAAATTATTAAATAGTTTTAATTTACTTTCATCGGTAAAAAAGTCTTTTTTCAAAAAAGTGAAAACCCTAGGTGTAACATTCTTTTTTGACTCTTTCGAGGTCTCCAAAAATCGAGACCCGAACACTTCAGATTGTTAAGAAAACATTATTTGTTTGGTATTGTATAATAATATATTTTAATGTATGTTTTCTTTCATTTCAAAAAGATAAAACAAATATATTCTATTGTTTAATGGATATATCTCAATTAATAGACTTTTATCCTTTTATCTTTTAACCAAAATTTTTAATATAAAAGACAGGGAAACAAAATTCTATTTAATTTGTTTTCACATCTTACAATCTACATATTTATTCTGTAAGGTTATGTTGCATAACATTTATTACAATTTTTTTATTTTTTATTTAAACTTACATTTAATTTATAGAGACAAGCAAGGTGTTTAAAATGTGGGAAAGATGCTGTTTATACATTTTTCATCAAAATTCATCAAATTATTTATTGTTATTAACGTTAAAATGATTTAAAGACAAGCTTGAAGGTTATTTTTAAAAATATATTATCATATATGTAACATATTCTGTATTAAGTATAATGCTATCTACGTTATCTATGTTCTCTAATAATATAAATATCTTAATTATCTGTATGTTGACCCTGCCGGGATAGCCCGGTCAGTTTATTCACCTGTATATAAATAAATAGAGTTCAATAGAATTCTTTGATTTATACAGACGTATAGAGAGAGCCTTGAGTTTTGGCTAGAGATAGAGATAAGTGTGATCTTATATTTAGACTTTGAGTAGAGTAATCGCATCTAGATTTGTTACATATATTACGCCAACGGCGTTTAAATATTTACATTGGAATTATTAAGACAACTTGCCATGCATGTACAATATTTGCAATTCTCGAGTTCACTTGTAATTATACTTATTGCCTTGTAACATCAACCCTTATGAAAAAAAATTACATTTTTTGTCTGCACCAATTTTTCGAATAAAAATGCATGTCTCAATCTCTTTCAATATCAAATACTACTTAAACTTTAAATTGGAAAATGAAAAAAGCAAATATACACAATTGTTAGAAAGTTATAAAAAGAAAAGGAATTCTGGGGGAAATATAGAATAAATGTTTAGAAAATAGGGTTTTTATTTATTGAGGGATATCCATACTTATCCTAGTGTATTAAGGGACAATAAATATATAGATGGTTGGGGGGGGGGGGGGGGGGGAGAGAACTCTTACCCCTTTCAGATAATATATAGGATTTGTGTTTTAAATGCATTTTTTATTATCTTGGAAACCCAGCATTGACTTGAGTTTTCTAATTCTCGATATTATGAATTAAATTTTGAATCGTCGTTTTTTTTAAGATTTGGTAATGTTTGGAGCAAATCTGTACTGATTTTTGCGTGGACTTTTTGTGATAACTCTCTTATTTATCAATATATTTCAGTGAAGGATTAAGGGGGAAGGAAGGGTTAACCTCACCCCCCCCCCCTTGGAGAATTGGGGGCGCAAGAAGAGAGAAGAGACCTATTCTAAACCTTTCATTTTATATTCAAGAAGATATCTAATAAAAATAGTTTTTGACGAAATGACTAAATTCCATGAATGTTACTTAAAAATTTCAATCCCCTCTGAAAATGCCGTGAGCCGCCCCTGATAGAAGTCTTCTTGAATAAAATAAAAAATTTCAAATTGATTTCTTCAGAAATAATATTTGTTGACAAAAAAAGGTTAGTCAGATTTTTCTATCATTATTAAATTGTTTTTGCATTTGTTTACTTCATTTTAATATTTTTCAACCCTGCCACATGATCCCTACAAAATTTGTATACAGTCAAACACGAAATAAGCCATACATCGAAAGAATTTATCAAATGTCGTCTTGACAATTTTTCAACGGGTTTTATACTATTTTACGTAAATCTCAGTATTTGCGAAAAAAATAAATAGCCATGAATATGTGGGAATAGTTTTAAGAAGCTCCCTAAAATCATTTAAAGGGACAGACCGGCTATGTAAGGTAGGTGAACTGAGAATGCAGTGCTGTTGAAAAATTCTTCAGGATTTATCAGAGACATATAAAAAAAACTAAATATCTGCAACATTCAATTATCAGATAAGAATACGACGTTTGATGAATTCTTTCGATGTATGGCAGCTTATTTAGGGGTTAACTGTAGTGTTTTTTTTAAACAGTGCCACTCCTTTATTTTAATCACCCTATATACTGGGTTACCCACAAAGAATGAGACTGCAAAGACAACCCAAAATATCTAAAAATATGACGATTTGAAGCTGGATTTGCACTCAATTTAGTATTTTGATGGAATACTAAATTCACAAGATTTAGGCCAGTTTTGGTCTACAAGGAACCCTGAATGCAATAAAACAGACTAAGCAAGTTCCGTACAATCTTCTCTGAAGTCTCATCCTTAGTGGGTCCCCTTGTAAGTAGAACTTGACAGCCGACTCTGTTCCACAAAAAACGAGTCTTTTCAGAAATTTATCTTCTATATTCATAATGAATTCAATCAAATACAAACAACATATTCACTCTCAAATGTAATTTCAGGTGAAAAGTATTCAGGCCCGATTCACAACGGTACCCTTGGCCTTGAGCTGGCTCTCTTTCGGTTGAACAGATACAAATTCTTTGAATTCCACGTAATGTTTCTATTGTTTTATTGAACAATATTTAAAGGATCTAAAATAGCCCATAACTTTTTTGTGACTAAAGCTGATTTAAAAACTATATTTTTAAAAAAGCCTTTGAAAAATGCCTGTAGAAACTTTGATATTTGTTTAAACAAAAAAAAATATTTTTTTCATTTTTTTGACCCCTTTTTAGGAATTTTTTTTCCACCCTCCCTGGCACCCAAACTATTAAAGTTATCGGTCTCATTTTTTTCTTAGAGATGGCCCATGAAAAAATGGTCTATGAACATGAATTTCAACCATATGTTTATTCTCTCAGGCCTTTTTCTAGGGGGCGCCAAACGCCCCTTCCCCCAGGCTATACATAGATTCAGACCTCCCAGCCTGTATAGGTTTAAGTTAAAATGTATATTACATATTATATTAAAATAATAAATCTAAGCTACATATAATTAATTATCATATCATATATCATATCATATACGTGTATATATCATATACGTGTATATATCATATCATATACGTGTATATATCATATCATATACGTGTATAGCTAGAGATTTAGCTAGATTTAGGGTTTTGGAACTTTTTAAACTTTGTTTCTTCTGTAACTTTGTTTGTTCAAAAAGGTGAAAAGGATTTTTATTCAAAAGGTAGTTTGAAAAAAATCGTTCGTCTAGTATAAAACTAAAATGCTGTTAGAATAAATCGTTTAAAAATGTTCATTTAATAAAAAAAATGATCGTGTTCAAACGAGCTATATTCAGAAATCGTTCACGAACGACCAAGATTGTTCGAACGATTTTAAATTGTTCGTTTTTTTGGTTCTCAACATGTTGTTTGTTGACAAAAACAATGCCCATCTTTATAAATAGGAGGAATAATAAAAATATTTTCATCACATTAAATCAATCAAAGGGGTATAGACTGTACGATATACAGACTATAGTATTATAATTTTCACATATTTTTTTAGAAATAATAATTGGCTTAAACATGAGTATATGGTTTGTTAGTCAAGATATTCTCCTCTTCATCTGATATGAGTCCATGACAAGCTCGGAATATACGCTCTGTAGTAAACGGTATCCTCATCTGGAACCAGGGATCAAGATTGCAAGATTTCCTGTAACTAGCCACTGCATGCCTACAGGAAATAATAAGAGTTTTATTTAATTAGATTTCCTGTAACTAACCACTGCATTGCATGCCTACAGGAAATAATTGGTGGTGTATTCAATTAGATTAGAACTAACCACTACTTACAAGAAATTTGAAAAACTTGCTTTAAAATTAGAAAATTAAAATTAAGGGGCATATATTCAAGAAACCCCCCCTCCCCCACCAACTTATAAATGAAAAAATAAATTAAACTAGACAATAAATGAATAAAAAATTACCTTAAAGCAGTGACCACGGATATCGAAAGATTGAGCGGGGGTTCACCAATTCCTGAAAGTAAAAAATCTGCTTTTTGACAAAATAAATAAACTTATTTCATTTAAAAGATAAAATATCAAAACTGAAAAAATCTTTCTAAACTAATCATTGCCTGTAGTGTAGTTTAATAAAAACCACGTTGGTTTTTTTTGGCATATTGATGTGCAGTGCATAAAGGGTTTTGTAGTTTTTTCTTATTTATATTTATCTTTTTAAGCTACCTTTTGATGAGAAAACAGCTTCTAGCTGCGCTCTACAGTTTCTCAACAAGGTAACATTCATCTCCTGATATGATTCTCATTATTTTCTCAAATTAAATATTTCTACTCACTACAAATATATATATTTAATATATATTTAAGCCATGCACAACAATACCGGTTTTTTACTCGACCAGATGTGAGGACTGGACTGCCATGGAAGATACCTCTCAATAGAGCTTTCAGTGATCACAACTCCCCATTTTGCGTATGGGGTGCAGTTATGGGTAAATTCCTTAATTCCCCTAACTGGGAAACAGTATAAAATGAAGGAACACAGGGAGAAATCCCCTATACCCTTCTTCCTACAAACCTCCTTATCTCTCTCCTACCTGCTCCACAACTCGATGTTAAAAGAACTATTTGGAAAGGCCTTAAAGTGTAAAAACAAGAATCAAGAAGCAAGAAGAAAAAATAAATTGAACAGAAAAAAGTGGAAGGAAAATCTCTTGACAGTAGAGATGGGTTCTTAAAGGAAAAATTAGAAAGGGATTTGATTTTTACATTATCTATTTTTTTCACCGATAACGAATAAAGACAAATACACAGGATGGCAGACGTCCCATCCCCCCCGGCCTCTATGTCCTACTTGAGATAAAAAATACTGGAAAATGTGTAAAATGCCCCCCTCACCCCTCTCCCCCTCCAAGAAAAGCTAGGAATGCAGGCGCTGACTCGACACAGTATCATGACTGAAGCAAAATTTAAATATAAACAAAGGGAAGAGTAACCTTGCCACTCTCAATATATAGAATATAGATACAGGGCTTCAAAAAATAGTTCTACCTCTGCAATTTGGCTAGCTGCAGAAAACATCCAAAAAATTCATTTATTTTTATTTTCAAAATTAGCCATATTGTGATTGAAGGATGGACAAGGAATGGAAGATCAAGAAGAAAGAATGAAAAACAAGAAATATAGAAGTCTCAAAATGTTTCCATCTGATATAATAAAATTTAAAAATATTGTAAAATTTAATTAAAATAAATTATTAAAGTTAAAAAATATATTTACGCTAGAAAGAGACTGTTTTTTAAAATTTCTAAACATATTAAAAATATGATTTTTCTACAGAAACCATTCGAGGAATACAGATTTGCAGACCAAAATAAAAAAAGTTATAACAAATTAAGTAGTCAAGGACAAAACACTGCCAAAGGAGTTGAGTTTTTGCCACAAACTCTGATTTTCTAATCTCTATATCTTTGTAACCCAATGCCGTAGACCTTAGATATTTCAAACTATTTATTGTTGGTCGCAATTTCTCCATTCAAACCATGAACCACCTCCTCCATTGTCATGTAACCATATCCTTGTCAATAAAAATGTTGCATTTTTGATGAAAATCATTGTTTTTTAATTCTCCAAAACAGTTATAGCTAGATACCTAATTTATAATATATATGAAATACATTTGATTGCAGAAATGAGCTTGTTTTTTTTTAAATTAACTGATGGAAAGTGTTTGGTCTGCCACAAATACACTTACCTTACTTACATAAACCTTTGACTGATTAAGGATGACAGACTTATCCTTATATTAACAGAAACATTCTAGAAAAGGCAAATTATAAATACTCACATTCAAATTAGGATTAAAATTAAACCCCGCATTGGATTTAGAATTCTCTAGATTTTCTGGGAACAAATGTGACGTCATCTGAATTGATTTCAAACAGAACTCTAGAGTACACTCCAATTTTAGAACTTTTTACACAGCATTTATGAGACTAATACACTTAGATCTCTGTCCTTGATGATCAGTCAAAGGTTTAAAGGGTACCAATGTGAATCAGGGATGTTCTTCTTTAAATGAAAGGTCACATGAAATTACGCGCACAGTCCCTTTATTCTGTAATTTATCTTGAAAGATTTACAAAAATGAAAATGCATACCTTGAACAAATGCTCCCTCTACTTGTCCAATATCAATTGCAGGGTTTAAGCTTTGTCCTGCGAATGATTAAATTTCAGAAACTAAAGAGGAAAATTTGTAAAATTATTTTTTTCGAAATTTCTTCTGTACTTTTTCATAAGAATAGTTTCTGAACTTTCCTACATCCATCACAATATTAGTGCTTAGAACCTGGTGGTTCCCTGGATTCACAAATCAAATATAAATCTATTTTAAAAAATAGATATTAGTTAATACCCTTAAGGTTGCTTCCCTCCACCTTGAAGAAATTGCCTTGGTCAACATATTCTGGATTTCTGGTTTATTCCTGGAGTTAAGTAAAATACTTTAATCTAAAGTTTAAGCAGTGAATCTCAAGAACATTCAATGTCCTATCGCAAAAGAATATAATATCCTTTTATTTGATTTTCCTGATGCACAATCAACTTCAACTACAGTACAGGCAACACCCGTAGTAAGGTAGTTGAATGCCAAACCTAGAACAGCAAAATAAGAAAATGTAAAATATCAGTTATTTATAAACTAAGTAAAGAACTTACCAGTATTTGTCTTTGGATCAACTTCAACCTGTGATCTGTTATAAAACCCATATGCTGTGAGAGGTATTCTCTGGAGATATGCCTGGAAAATGACCTGCTCCCAAGGCATGTCCGGGTTAGCGTCTCGGAGTGGAGCCAACTTGGCGGCTAAATCCTCACATGCCAGGACAACAGCATGCCCATTCAAGTCTGTTCCAGTACTTCCTCCTGTATAAACATGAAATACAAGTAGGTATATAATTGAATACTTCCTTATGGTTGAAACTTACCAGTAGATGTTGTATTGATGTTAATTTCTGTTGAGGTTTCAATTAGATGAAATTTTTCCATTGGAACCTTCAGGACCCTTGACGCAACCTGAAGCATCTTTGTATGCAACCCTTGGCCCATTTCTATCCCTCCATGAGATAAAAGAATGGACCCATCTGTGTAGATCCTAACATAGGCTGATGCCTGATTCAAGAATTTCAAGGGCATGAAAGGTGCAAACTTGATAGGAACAATGGAAATTCCACGTCTTACATTTTTGTTTCCTGGATTAGCATTGAAAGCCTCAATTTCTTTCCTCTTTTCAAAATAATCGCTCTTTTTGATACAATCTTCCCAACATCTCATCAGGTTGTCATCATACACTTTGGTGTCTCCATAGTGTAGCAGGTCATTTTCTCTGGTCAAATTGATTTTTCTTACTTCAGCAGGATCTTTTCCTGTTATTTGCGCAATTCTTTCAATGCATTCTTCAATGATTGCTGTTCCCTCCGGTCCCCCAAATCCACGGAAAGCTGTATTGGAAGTCAAATTTGTCTTTCTTGGATATGCTTTTCCCTCAAAGTTCTTCAATGAATATCCCCCATCCAACCTATTCAAGAGTGTTGCTCCCCACGGAACTGAAAGATCTCTACTACATCCTGCATTGAAATTACATTCAAACTTTGCTTTAGTTATTTTACCAGTCTCATCAAATCCGATTTCATAGTCAGCATGGGTTTCATGACGATGACCCATGCTTAAGACATCACTTGTTCTGTCTAATGCCAGTCGGCATGGTCTTCCAAGTTTGTTTGCTGCTACTGCTGTTATGAGGGTAATGAGTGGTCCCTCTTTCCCCCCAAACCCTCCTCCAATACGTTTTGCTTTTACAACTATCTTGTGCTGAGGGACCTTTAATGCTGAGGCTACTGCTTTCTGAACCCCAGAAATACTCTGGTTTGATGAGTATATTATCATTTCTGACTTTTCTTTCCCAGGAATGGCAACAGCCCCATGAGTTTCCATGTAGATATGCAACTGTCCGCCAAGTTTAATTTGACCATTGAATGATTTATTTGTGGATTTCAACAGCTCTGCATCTTGAATTCTTTCTAACTTAGATATTTCAAATGAAGAGTTTTTTGCAACGGCATCAGTGATACTTAATAAAGCCTCCTTTGTTTCATAAGATACTTCTACCAGTGAAACTGCTTGTTTCCCTGCATCAGGAGTTACTGCAGCTATTACTCCTATAATCTGCCCACTAAAATGTACGTCCTGTTCAGGGAAGATATGTTCATCTGGAGGACCTGCACCCGCAAAGATGTTTGCACCTGGTACATCTTGAGCTGAAACCCAAGAGACAACTCCAGGAACTCTTAGTGCATTCTCAGTGTTAATGCTTTTAATCTTTGCATGGGATTGAGTGCTATGGACTGGGAACAAGAAAACTTCATTTGCAAGTTTGGGAACATCACCGGTATATTCCGCTTCTCCAGTACATTGCTCTGCAGCAGAAATATGTGGAACTGGTCTTGTTATAGGATCTATCATGCTCTGTGTAGCACTAGTCTTTTCAAACAGCTGATGAGATTTCAGATTCCATTTTTTTTCAGACTTAAAAATATTTGTAAGCATCTCAGATATTATTTGTATCTTATATTGGTTTTGATCTTTTCCAAAATCTAACTGTATTGCCTTTAGAAGAGCAGAAGTGCTGGATTTAGGGAAATCTTTGATGGATATCAAATGCTTTTCGACATTAGATGCGATGATAAGTTCCCCCTCTGTAGATTGTTTTACAGCAAGATCAACCCCACCTATTACAATGGACACATGAGGCACTGCATTTTCAAAATTGGCCAACAACGCCATGTTCACCACCCCCAACTCAACTGTCTTACGCTTAGCTTGTTTCTTGTAAACGATTATGTCATTGATTGAGTTGTTCGGTATAAAAACAGCGCCGACAATATCTCCTTGTGACAATTCCTTGGTCACATGAGGCCTAACCGGAATTTTTCTCTGGCCTTCTTCACTCTCTACTAAAAGAACAGCTTTAGCAACTGTCAATATTGGAAGCATGTCTGAAGCAGAATGATCCCACAGTATACCTCCGACCAAAGTTGCAACATTCCTAGAGAAGAGTTTACAATCTAACACTCCATCTTGAGAATGTTTCATTTTATGTTACCTAAGCTGTGTCGAAGCAATCTTGGCAGCAGTGTCTTTAAGAACCTCAGCTGAACGGTGCTTTACTATATCAAGATTTTTCAATCCTTCTACTAGCTCAGAATAGGTTACTCCTAACACAGTTTAACATCAATATGATATTTAGGTCAGGATATTTATGTATTTTTTTAATGAATAAAATACCTCCTCCTATTAAGATGCCTTCTTCCTGAATAACTATCTCTGGAAAAAAAAACTGATGAAATTAATTGGAATAATTTGAGAAAACAAAATTACCTTTCATTTTCAAAACTGAGCTCAAAGAAATCACAGTTTTCATTTCAGTAGAGGAAAACTTTTTGTATCCTCCTAATAACAGATGAAATTTAAGTTATTATTTTAAAATTCAAATTAGCAAAGCATACCTGTTCCACCTTGACGATAAACAGCTTCTGGGAACTGTTTACTTAGACATAATGCTTCAGCAACAGTGCTTGGGTAAAACCATTTACTTCCATCAGATTTGAATCTTACACACTTCACCTAATTATTCATAAGGTAACATGGGACTAGCTGTCTCAAACAATTTAGATATGTTACCTGTTCAATGTTTTCCAGAACTTGTTTGGTGTTTTCTGAAATCTGAAGATCTTCAGGTTTAAGGTCTTTAAACTTGGAAACATCATAGGTTTCCACCTCTTCTTCTGCTGAATCAAACTTTTGATCACTCTTAGCCAAAGGTTTAGAGGAAAAAGTAGAAAATGCTTCAAGAATTGGTCTGTAACCAGTGCAACGACAAAGATTTCCCTAAACAATTTAGTTCAAAGCACATTCTAGTCCATACAAATTATTAATTAATATATGTTTCCACAAAGACCCCAAGCCATGGATAGAGATTTTTATATTAAATTTTTAAAAGTAAAGATTGTTCTTTTGTTGTTTGAACTGTGACAAATACAAATTTTTTTCTGTGTCATTCCTTAAACATTTGCTCTTTGGATTTACTTACCATTCTTTAAAAGTTAGGAACTATAATTACTTCCAATATTGAGAGTTGTATTTTAAAGAGCAGAGAACCAACAATAATTTTCGATTTGTCTAATGGCAGATAAAGCTGGGGGGAAAAAAATATCCTCATTTACCTGAAGCCTGGAAACAATATCCATTTTTACCTGAACCCCGATAACAATATCCATATTTACCTGAGCCCCTGTAACCATATCCATATTTACCTGAACCCCTGTAACAATATCCATATTTACCTGAACCCCTGTAACAATATCCATATTTACCTGAACCCCTGTAACAATATCCATATTTACCTGAACCCCTGTAGCAATATCCATATTTACTTGAAACCCCAGTAGCAATATACTTATTTACCTGAGCCCCTGTAACAATATCCATATTTACCTGAAGCACGATTACACTATTTATATTTACCTGAACCCTGGTAATATATCCATATTCATCTGAAGCACGGTAACAATATCTATATTTACCTGAACCCTGGTAATATATCCATATTCATCTGAAGCACGGTAACAATATCTATATTTACCTGAGCCCTGGTAATGTATCCATATTTACCTTAAGCGCGGTGACAATATCTATATTTACCCAAACCCTTTTAACAATACCCATATTTACCTAAAGCATGGTAACAATATCCATATTTATTTTAACCCTGTTAACAATATCCATATTTACCTGAACCCCAGTAACAATATCCGTTTTTACCTGAGCACTGTAACAATGCCTTTATTCTATTTTTAACTGAAGCCAGGTATCAAAATAAATATTAAACTTAAGCCCGGTAACAATATCTATATTCTATATTTACCTGAAGCCCGGTAACAATATCCTCTATATCAGGGGTACTATTCTTACACAGTACTCCAGCCATTGACATAACCATACCGGGAGAACAGAACCCACATTGAGATCCATGGCAGGAATATAGACGCTCCTAAATCATTTATGTTTAGTTAACTTCCAAAACCCATTAATAGATGATCAAGATGGCTAAGAAACTAAAGGCACAGAGAAATTGTCAAAAGCATTATTTTAAATGAAAAATTAACTATTCAACCTGAACAGGATGCAAGGTAGTTTGAGTTGAGCCCAAACCTTCCACTGTTGTGACCTCAGATCCATGCAGGGTACAAACAAGTGTTGTACAGGCATTCACTGTATATCTTTCAAATTCTCCTCCTTTTTTACTAAACAAAATACTTGATTTGATATAAAGAAAATGAGTTTTTGGGAAAAACTCAAATTTTCTAATACCTCTATCATTACAACATATGGTTGCAAAGATATAGGGATTAGAAAATCAGAGTTTATGGCAAAGAATCAATTTCTTAGAATATATAAATCAAACTGTACACAACTTGTATTCAATACTGTACACACCTTGTAATGAATACTGTACACACCTTGTAATGAATACTGTACACACCTTGTAATGAATACTGGACATACTTTGTAATGAAGACTGCACATATTTTGTAATTAGTACTGTACACACCTTGTTATGAGTACTGTACATACTTTGAAATGTTTACGAACATACCTTGTAATCAATACTGTACATACCTTCTATTGAATACTGTACACACATTTTAATGAATACTGTACACACCTTGTAATTATTACTCTGCATCCCTTGTAATGAATACTGTAAAATGTGCATACCTTGTAATTAGTACTGTACATACCTTGTACTGAGTACTATTCATACCTTGTAATCAATACTGTACATACATTATAATGAGGGCTGTACAGTGTCCTGTAATACCTTGTAATGAGAGCTCTGCAATGTACATACCCTGTAATGAGTACTGTACATACCTTGTAATGAGTACTGTACAAGCTCCACAGTTTCCCTCACCACAGCTTAGTTTGGTTCCAGTCAGACCAGAATCTCTGAGATACTAAAGAACACAGTGATACAAAAACATAATTAGCACTGCACAATCACGTACTCAAGGATGGAGGGGTGGCTGCTCTCAGGGTTTTGGAATTGCTCCCAGGATTTTGGAGTTGCTCCCAGGGTTTTGGAGCAAATTGTGATAATTCATTCGACCGTTTATGAAAAATCCTTTAAAAAGGGTACTTTAAGACCAAAAATTGAAATAATGGCTCTAATACCCCTTTTAACCGTCTGTGTTAAGATATTTGCAGGGAAAATAATCACGAATTTCAGTCCAAGTAGCCTGTGGCGATCATATAATTTTGATTAGGCAAACTGACGACATTTGTTTTATCTTATTCTTTAAAGATTATTGGTCAATGTTAAAAAAAAATCTTATTTACCCTAGACACATAAAGGTTTCATTTGAGATGGTCTAATACATCTCAACATCTAATTATAAGTTATTTTATTTCCAAGTTTTTTTTTCAGAAAAAAATCATCTTTTCTCCTAAAATAATCTTAAATTGATTGGTGCCATTAAAATGTGCGCTTTTACTAAACACTCACAAAATAAAAATTGCTCTATAAAAAATTTAGAGCCTTTTATATGGCGCGCATTATACCAAAAATCATCAAATTTTTAAGATATCTGAGGAAAAATTAGAAAAAAACATATTCTCAGATATCTTAATAATTTGAAAATGTTTGGTATAGTGCGCGCTCAAGTACTCTCTGCTGCTATTTGACAAATTTTCAAAGATTCTAATCATCTTATTCTTGTTTAAACTTTTCTCAAAGGAAGGTATCAAAATAGGCCAAAGAAATGAACATGGTGGGAAACCTTAAAAGGCATTAAAAGATGTTTTAATGGCTTAAACACTAATTAAACAATCAAACCTGAATCAAAGTTTGGCTGGAAATATCAGGCGAGACTTTTTGAAGTTTTCCTGAAAAGATTATCTTTATTAGAGTTAAGAAACAAGGTTCAGATCCAGGTTCCTTTTCAAATATTTTTTTAATGAAAACAGTTTTGAACGTATCTGGAAAGTTTTTTATATATACTAAACACCATTTCTGATTTAGAAAGAAACTTAATCCCCAATCTACGGAAATATGTAAAATAAATCTTTAAAATTAATCACTTTACATGTTTAATCTATTTATGACTAAAGATGTGCATTGTTTTGGGACCGTTTCTAAACATTAAAAGTTGTAAAGGCTCAGAGATGTCAATCATAATTGAAATTTGCACTTTTTAATTTTCAACTATAGTGTCATCTCTGCAGTCTGCAACAAGAGAGTTATTAACCAGAAACATGTATTGGCTTTATTTTGTCACAGTCAAAATTTAGAACAATGTAGAGCATACAAGTTTTTTAAAAACTTAAATGAAAATAAAACTACCAAAAAAAACAATGCCCACTTTACATGCATTTTGAGAGGGGAAAAATGGGGTGGATGAGGGGGGGAGGGGTTTAGCTGTGCCCTTTCACATACTTGAATTCTGGTTATCAGCTTATCATGATTCAAGTATAAAAGGGACGTTTAACCCCCCTTAGGCATTATATAAACGTTGTTTTAAGAAAGCATATCACATCGTGACATGTCATATGACACAAAACATTATGATTAGCATCAAAAATGCAAAAAAAGAAACTGTATTTTCTTACATAATAATAATACTTTATAACACAATTAAACATGAGTATATGGTTTGTTAGATAAGATACAATAGCAGGAATATTTCAACAAACCTATTTAACTAAATAAAGGAACTTAAATTTGCTCTACTTCACTTTGCACTTTTATCTTTTGCTTTTCATTTTTTATTTTTAATCGCCAAAAAGATTTGGCGGACCTTTCAATTTAAAAAACATGTGATTTGTTTTACAAATTTTAAGCCTGGATCGGCTCACTCGTTCTGTCGCTTTTTGAACACAGACGGGCAAAAAGTCTTTGTCAAAAACTCTGATTTTCGAATCCACATATCTTTGAAACCCAATGTTGTAGACCTCAGATATTTCAAGCTATGAATGTTGATAGCTAGATGGAATAATAAAGAAGTGTATATGGGATTAGAAAATTTTAATTTGAGTTAAAGGCTTAATTCTCTTATGTATAGATTTGAAATTAAACATTTCTGTGAAATCTGCCAAACATGTGTGTATGGTTTGAAGTTTATACCCAACATGAACACAATGTTTTTTTAATTTAATGTTATAAAAAAGATTGTTTCACTGATATAAGCCATAGCTATACTTTCTAAATAAAATAAAAAATTACCATTGACTGAAAACTTCAAAATTCCTCCTTCTTCATCATTTTCAGCAGTCCCCATGTCTGAAAAATGTTTAATTAAAACATTCTATATTTATTTAGCATTTAATATGAACTTTAAGGCTGAACAAACATGTAAAGTAAAGTTGAATTATCTTATCATTTTCATAATTTTAGATTATAAAATTATATTTGTTGTGTAATCTGGTCACTAATTAAATACATTAGAGATTAATAATTTAATTTAAATTAACTTCCTTTTATTTTAAGTATTGTGTTTGTTATTTAAAATATATAACAAAGAAATCCATAGTAAAAAATTTAAAATTTTAAACATTTAAAAAAAAATTTTAATTTACTTTTTGATATTTTCTAAATTTTTTAAAAACTTATCTAACGTCACAAAATTAATGCTCACAAAAAGTGTTGGGATGTTATAGCAGTATAATTTTTGTACAAATATAAAACTACTAGAAATTCAAGGCGCTTCGCGCCCTTGTTTCTAGCCTTAGAGGGCGCTTCGCGCCCATCTTCTAAATTAATTGTGAACATGTTCTCTTCGTGTACATCGTAAAACAAATCAAAAATAATTCGCAGATTTTCATAAAAAATTCGTGGATTTTCAAAATTTTAAAAAATTTAATGAAGATCGAATTTTGATGGAGACAAATATTTGAAATTTTGATTATTCATAAACCTTCCCTGGGGTCCCTAGATGTCCCACAAAAAATTTGGGCCCGATCGGTTCAGCCGTTTTGACGTTTATTGGATACAAACAGACAGACAAACAAACAGACACCCAGACAAGCCAAATTTATATATAGATTAAACATATCTTAATTTAAAATTTCTCAAACCTCTGCAGTTATCTGGAAGAAAATTAGTCTTTTATAGACAACTAATAAATTTCCTAAAATACTTCAATTTAAAATTAAATTAAATTTTTATTCCTTTTCTAAACGCTGATAAAACCCGCTCTTTACTAAGGAATATTACTTAATCTCTAATTTTCTAATATCTGAGAGTAAATATTGACCACATAACACTACGACTGCTATCTTACAACTGTTAAGTGTTTCTGTGTTACTGAATACTGATCACTGAGCCAGTGAGCGGGTTGCAGATGTATTGCATATCGCCCCCAACCCAACTAAAACAGCATTATATTTCGCTTAGGCAGAGTAGGCGAGACAAAGTCTTGCCTGTACGATTATAATGCCATTTTCCCTTAGCTTACCCTAGCGTCGCAATTCATTTGGGTTTTGTGTACCAGCTGCCTGTGCCAGCTGTCAAAAATTATATAATCTAAAATTATTTTGAAAGAGGTAATAAATATTTATCAAATAAAATGTAATTTTTAAAATAAAAATAGTATGTTTTAGTTGTTATTACATTTAAATTTTTCCCTTATAAAAAAGTTAAACCATAAAACTTAAAAGAATATAAATAATGATGTATAGTAGACACACATTTTAACCTGTTCCTGTTCAATTGAAGTTCTGACCAGTAAAACTAGTATTCAAGCCTTCAAAGATACAAAAGGAAATAGGGTTTCCATTTGCAAAACTATTGCGAATTTTTTGCGAACCCATACGCAAAATATTTCTTTTGTTGCTTAACACTTTTATGTCGATTCAGCGTAGAGCATATCTTTAAAAAAATAAGGAAAAAATAATGATTATTGGATTACAAAATACATTTTATTTGTTTTTAGTTCATTTATTTTTAGGCATTATATAAACGTTGTTTTAAGAAAGCATATCACATCGTGACATGTCATATGACACAAAACATTATGATTAGCATCAAAAATGCAAAAAAAGAAACTGTATTTTCTTACATAATAATAATACTTTATAACACAATTAAACATGAGTATATGGTTTGTTAGATAAGATATTCTCCTCTTCATCTGATATGAGTCCATGACAAGCTCTGAATATACGCTCTGTAGTAAACGGTATCCTCATCTGGAACCAGGGATCAAGATTGCAAGATTTCCTGTAACTCGCCACTGCATGCCTACAGTAAATAATGGGAGGTTTATTTAATAAGATTTCCTGTAACTAGCCACTGCATGCCTACAGGAAATAATGAGAGGTTTATTTAATTAGATTTCCTGTAACTAGCCACTGCATGCCAACAGTACATAATAAGATGTTTATTTAATTAGATTTCCTGTAACTAGCCACTGCATGCATACAGGAAATAATTAGAGTTTTCTTTAATTAGATTTCCTGTAACTAGCCACTGCATGCCTACAGGAAATAATGAGAGGTTTTTTTAATTAGAATTCCTCTTACTAGTCACTGCATGCCTACAGGAAATAACTAGAGGTTTAGTTTATAAGATTTTCTGTAACCAGCCACTGCATACCTACAGTAAATAATTAGAGGTTTATTTAATTAGATTTCCTGTAACTAGCCACTGCATGCCTACAGTAAATAATTAGATGTTTATTTAATGTAACTAGCCACTGCATGCCTACATTAAATAATTAGATGTTTATTTAATTAGATTTCCTGTAACTAGCCACTGCATGCCTACAGTAAATAATTAGATGTTTATTTAATAAGATTTCCTGTAACTAGCCACTGCGTGCCTACAGGAAATAATATGAGATTTATTTAATTAGATTTCCTGTAACTAACCACTGCATGCCTACAGGAAATAATTGGATGTTTATTTAATTAGATTTCCTGTAACTAGCCAACTGCATGCCTACATTGTGAATCGAGAATGTCTCTCTTAAAATGAAAGATCGCTTGAAATTTGAATTGCGGTTTTTTAAAACCAATTTAAGAGCAAAAGTGACAGACGCAAAGATTGTTTTCAGATAAAATTGAATTTTTGTATCATTTTAAAAAGGAGGAGAACTTGTAAAAAACGTCTATAGTCCCTTTAATTAGGCGTACAAATCTTTGAATCAGTTATCAAAGTTCATCTTGAAAACATTATTTAAAATTTTCAACAAAAATTTTGATAAAATAAAAAAAAATTCCTTTAAATTTTTGTCACCGATATTTGCAAATTGCATGCAATACTTAATTTTACCTAATTGCAGTTACTACAGATATGGAGAGGTTTATTGGCGGCTCTCCAATACCTGAAATGTCAAATATATATATGTATTTGTTTGGTTTATCTTGAGGACAGAGAAGTGCTAGAAACGGTGTTTATAAAAAAGCTGGAATCTTTTTTTAGAGGTGTTAACTTTTACAAAAGATAATCTGCAACGTCTGAATTGGACCTCCACAGTAGAAATCAAATTAGACTAAGTGCTGAAATGTGAAAAACAGCTGGCGCGTTTTACTGCAACCTTTCATTGGAAAAAACTATTTTTTTGGCTTCTGAAAGATAATCGAAAAATTTAGCTAAAAGAACCTGTCAAATCATTCGTTGGGATGTTTAGAAAGATGAAAATTTCCCTGTATGATAATTGAATGACTGCAGTATGTTTTTGGTGAATTCTATTGACGTACTAAGCCTAGGGGTGTCAGAAATGATTTTTTTGCAGTTTTTTGAAAACGTCCAATAAACCTAAAAAAGTTTAATTTTGATAAAACTTTTTGTTTTCCACTCTTTCCCTGTATTTCAGGAATCGCTAACCACCATGTACAGTATTTGGTATCTCATCGCTCAATAGTAAAGTTTAGAAAGAGAATATGAACAAATTCTCGGGCTAGTTTCTACAGTCGACTGTCTAGCCCGTAAACTAGTGTCTGTGATTTTAAATAAATGTAATACTAGCTGCCCGTCAAAAAATTAATTGAAAAATAAATGAAAAAAATTTGAAAAATAATTTCGAAATTTTGTTAGCCACCCCAGAGTGTTCACAAAAAAATTCAGCAAAATCGGTCCAGCCGTTTGGCGGCCGGCTATAGGCAACATATATATATATATATATATATACGAATGTCTTGTTTTATTATATAGATATCACTGCTTTTATCCCATAACCATAATTTGCATATATTGTTATCAATGTTAAAATAAGACCAACAAACGAAACTTATTTCATGTCTAACAAAACGTCAGGATTATTCTTACCAGTTTTCTTTTTGGGTGATCTTAGACCTCATACTTAAAGTGTACACTAATATGGTGGAGGGAGGGATGCCTTCCCCCCCCCCTTGGTTGGGAAGGAATGGTAATTGGGACAGTGAGTGGAGAGAATGATCTTTCAATTTTTTTTCTACGATGACTTTTAAAAATAGTATCAAGGAAAATACACCTAAACCCCAACTTTTCATGTCATTTTTAGTATTTCAAGTAAGGTATCCAGGAAAGTCAGAAACCATTTTGAAAATCCCAGGAAAGACCAATTACTTAAATAAAAGATGGGTCTGTTTGACCAGATTTTCTTATATCCTAGATATTGAGAGTCGAGGGAGGGGTAATAATCATCCGCAATATAGAAAAAGGGATAAGAGCAGGTGGTAAGTACTCCACTCCTGTATGCCGGGTCCATTAGCGCCTGATCCAATCAGGGTTCAGTCATGTGTTTGGTGTCTATTCTGAACCAATAGAAATAGTATGGCGGTAACATCTATCTTTCTATCTATCTCATTAT